GATTTTGCTCAGGTTCTGTTTGTTTTGTATTCCAAAAGGCATCATTTGCTGTAAAGGTTACACTTGTCATTTTTAAAAGTTAGCTAAAGTAGCCTTTATGACAGATGATGCCTACCTGGAATAAACATTTAGAAACATTTATGTGGGGTTATGTCAGTTGTCATGACAAGCCTATGCTGATGTCATGTGTACCATACAGTAAAGTGTTACCAAATTTTTCTCCAGGCTTTCTGGAGAAAAAAGAGTTTACCATCAGTTTGATGTGCTAAAAGTGTTTTTTTTTTTCTGAAACAAACATTTTGTGTTTTATGAACACATTTTCTCAGCCGCTAATCCTCCTGGGTCATGGGGGTCCTGGGCCTATCCCAGTGCTCATTGGGCAGAAGGCAGTAAACACCCTGGACAGGTCACCAATCCATCACAGAGCAGACACACAGACATACACATTCACAACTCAAAGACGTTCATTAAAGTTTACCAATGTTTAAATGGTTAAAGTGTCCAAATACGTTTTGAGGCCCTGTGAATTATCTACAGATCCTCAAATTGTCAGCAAACTGTGGTGTGGTTGCTCATCTACAACATTAGAGTTAGGTTTAGGTATTGGGGTGAAGTTAAAGCTAGGATCAGATTTAAGTTTGGGTTACATTTTATAGCATGTATTACATTATATCAAAAATACCATGTTAACATCACTAGACATATTTGTGTATGCAAAAATAACTCAATTGAATCATAGTGATATTTGAGCTTTCATGACGATCTAAACCATTTCTTAAAGCACTGCAATGGAATCAAAGGTATAACCTTCCTAGATTTTGAGGTCAAAATCTAAGGCTGTGAAATGCAAAAGAGAGAAAGAATAAGAAACACTTTCCGTAGCATCTCGGTGACTAATTCTTGCTGGCAAATTTCTGTTTAGCTAAAGGATATTAGCACTGAAACTTAGCGTGGAATCTCAAGTACTTAAAAAGTGATGATTAATTGCAACGATTAATTCTTTCTTTTAATCATCTCCCCCTTTTCTTTAAGGGGGGAAGTGTTCCAGGGTTATGATGTATAATGCATTGTGTGTGCGTGTGTAACTTCAGAGAATCATTTCCCGAGAACTTAACTAGCGAAATCCCTGAGAGGAAGATGAGCTTTCATAGAAAAAAAAATGTCCATTTGCAGCCCTGAAAAATTCTCTGTGAACTTTCCATTGCTTTGAATTTTGCTATTTAGCATTCCGGTCCCAGTGCCCGCCTCTTCCCCTCTCAGCTTTACCACCCATGTTCATGAGATATCAATGATAATCGTTCAACCTGCTTCCATCTAAGAACCAAATCGATGAAGCCAGCTATTTCCTAGTGATTAGAGGGTGACCTTCCCAGGTATCGTACTACTATACAAATATGCAGCCTGATGATTTACTTGAATTTGAGTGATGTAGATCTGATTCCCACAGCATGCACTCTGCTCATCAAGTTTGAGAGCTGGTTTTTCAGTGGAAACCCCATAAACCCTTAGGGACTGTAAGTGGGCCCACAATTTACTCTCCTAAGTATCCAAATTGCAGCACTGTGCCAAAGTCATTCATTTAATTTCCAGTCAAAAGAGACTTTAAGTTAAGGGCCAGGAGGTAAGCAGGAAACACTTAACATAAAATTACACAGAAGCCTCAACATCTGAATGAGTTTTTAGTGTGTCTACATTTTACCTTTATTACAGCTTCCATTCTTTTTGCTTTCGGTTTTCAGAGAAATGGATATGTTTCCACACCTCAACAAAGTTCAGTCTTAGAAGTTGCATTCTCTGCTTCTCCTCATGATCCAAGTAGTTCTATTTATTGATGTTGAGGTCTGACTCTGGGGTGGTCAGTCTGTTGTTCTGAGAACATCAGCAGCTTCTTTGCTTGATTTGCAGCTTCTTGACAGCTTCACATCATTTCAGACCCATTAGGTGTCTTCTCACAGTGGAAGGATGGACAGATACATCGGTGAAGTTTTTCAGATCTGAGGCAAGAAGCTTAACCTTCTATATCTGATCACAGAAGTTTTGCTTGAAAGGTGAAGCTGGAATAAATGAAGGGTGGTCTATGACTTATGATAAGTACTGTACTCATAGTGTTTACTGAATTAGTCTCAAAACTAATTACCGGAGATCAAGTCTAATGTTCAAGCTTTCACTGGCTGGTCTTAGCAGGCAATCCTCAGAACTGTCAGAGTCCATTCTGGGACTGGCCTGGCGTAGAACAATTGAGTTTGCTTGCTTTACTTTATGCATACTGACGGACCATGCATCAGTGTCACTGGCAATAAAGCAAATCTTGAAAACAGCACGTGTTCTGCATAATATCCCAGAAGCCTGAACAAAAGTCATATTGAGTCTGGCAGACGTAGTGTTTCTTCACAATTCAAGTATTTTGGAATTCATCCTGTTGCCATCAATAAATATGTGTTATCAGTAAAGACAAGTTGGCCAGTTCCACAGTCTGGAAGGCACACATGCCCATCATGTTGTACAAATGAGCTGCTATACTTGATATACTGGATCATGAGCAGTTCCTTTTTTCTCAGCACACTTTCTTGATTCCAGCTTTTGACAAACTTTGAACTCTGGCTAGAAAAAAACAAGGAAACAACCCATCAACTCAGAATTCCTACTCAAAAAGTTAGAAACTCCGAGGTCAGCATATGACATCATATCAGCTTGACTGCTCACACCATCAATGGTAATAAAGTATCACTTCTCTACATTTAAATGATATGACAGTGGTGTTTCTTTTACATCAGTCAACTTAACCAGAAGGTCTGCAGTTTTGAGCAGTTGTCACTCATATCACTAATGTTACAGGTGTCCATGTTTTTCCCTACTTTGTTGCTTGAACGTCAGGGGCTGAAAATAACATCATTCCGAGCTCCGACTTCTCACTTCTGAGTTAAGTTTGTCCCAGAACTCAACAGGCTTTTTTATGCTCATGGCCTTTCTGTAAGTGCGTTGATCTTACAGTAAACACTGAGGTCATGGCTGTTGTACAGTGGGCCTACATCCTACATATTGTCCCTGATCTCTTCAACAGTTTCTCTTCATAATCTCTTCTTCAGGTATCCACTGCTTTGGTCATTCATGGCGTGCCAAGTCTCTTGCTAAGCTAACCAGGGCATCCTTGCTTCTTAAAAATGTACCAATTTGACCCAGCACTGGACTGGTTTTGGGCATGCCTCTGATTTATTCAGATTTTTCAGCGTCCTCTTGGCTAGTTATGCTGGCACTGACACTGGCAGGGTCTTTGTCCTGTTACTGGACTGCATCGGAGACACTGCAAAAAACAACTATGAATAATAACACTCATTTCACTCCCACCACTCCCTCTTTTCAGCAAAAGTAATTAGAGAGAAACAAAACAACTAATTGGAAATGAGATGTGCGGGTTTAACATCAAACGTTTTATTACTGTCCCTATTAATGCCAGTAGAATATCATTTCTTTTTTAACATTCTCTCAAATAAAAATATGCCAAGTATTTACATTCATTGGTAGAAATACAAAAGAGAATACAAGTAAGTGTCTTTCTAAAAGACATACAGTGTGGTTACAACAGGTATGCAGAAAAGAAGACAACAGAGATGAGGACAAAAAATACCCTGCTAAGAAGCTATTATATTTAGAGTTGTGCTAATTTGCGCAACTGTGTAACCGAACTATTGGACCTTCCACTTATTGCAATAAGTGAAACATGCAGAATGGAAATAATGGTTATTCTCACAGTGTTCACACTGGCAATATTTCAGTGGACTTTCAAAATGGAATTCTGCAGGTATTGAGTTAACAAACCCGAGTTGTGAGGCGAGCTATAAACGTATACTTGCACAATATCAAAATTGCTACTGTATTATTACAAATTACATTAAGGTACGATCCTTTACCAAACTCAATGATGGCTGATATTAGTAGCTACCACATGTCTGAGGGCTGGGTACATTACCTGGATCCATCACATATATGTACATTTCCATTGTTGAAAAAAGTATCCGTATGTACGAAGTGGTAAGGTTATTCCCAGGCCTAACTTTGTAGTTATCACGTTTATTCCCATTCCCATAAAAGGGGAAAGTTATACTATAATTGTACAATATGTTCTGTAGACCATCAGCGTGGGAAACTGGACCCAAGCTTAGATTTTTTTTCTCCAGTGCTACACTAGTACATCAACACATGCCAGCCAAAAACACAACCAGGAACTTCAGAATAAAATGGTAGATCCATTATTGAGTTTTCCAGCTAGGTTTTCCTCTCAGGTAATTCAAAAAACAACATTTTATGGTTAAATGTATATTTTTTTGCAACCATTGGAATCCATAAACCTATCACCTCAACAGACTAGCTGTACCTAAAGCAGTGAAAATAAAGAAAACGGATCCACTAAAATGGCATTGATTGAGATATATAGATGAAATATGATGTCAACAAAAGTTTTACCAATCCCTGATTTGATTTAGTCACTGTGAATTACTCTGTTTGCATTTTTTGAAGGAACGTGAGGGAACCTGATTGATTTTCTACAGCTTTAAGATAATATCTACAGCAGGTTACTATGGACTTCCATGTGTCCTTCTGAACAGAGGCAACAGAGCAGCCTTTATAATAGCCCCCAATGCTGGCAAAAACGTTTGTAACAGTGATTTTTAAAATGATTTTGTTTTACATCAGGCTTTACATGTAAACATGGACTGTTTTGAGGCAATGTCTCGCAGATGTCTTGAAAGCTGCTAAAACCCCTTATCCCTTCACGAGACAGTATTTCAAGGGTTTTTGATTAGCAACATACACAAAACAATTAACGCTTTTAAACATTCCATTAGATTCAGGTTTGAAGGGGCCTATCCCTTTACTTCACCTTTAATGCTTAAGTAAAATCTTTTTAGCATTTTTGGTAAATCTAAGACAACTAGCGCCAATGTAGATAGGTTTAAAGGTGGAGGAAGGAAAGAAGATATGATTCCTGCCAGGCAAAAGAGTGTTGGGACAATCATAACCTTGGATTTTATTTTAACAAAATATCCAAAATACAGACTTTATAGAGGGCTCTCTTTTCAACTATACATGATCAGGAACATTAATTTACAACAAAGCAAAAAATATATGTAAAAATTCATATATGAATATATTTATACATATATATATTACCATTAACATCTTCAAGTCGTTGCTTGGCAAAACAACAAAAATACAAGGAAAAAAAATCTGAAAAATGTAATACTCCAGTTGTATCCCTTGGTATAATACAATGCCTCTACATCTGAACCCTAGATAACTAAGGTTTAGTTACAATGTACTGTACAATTATTATTTATATACTTGCAGGAAGCAACAACATTTAAACCAGTATCTTTAAAATACTATACAAAATGTCCAACTAACAAGGAATGAAAATGCACAACTAGCATATAAATATATTTTCCCTTGACAAGCAAGACTCGTTTTTCTCTGGAATTATGTACAACGGCAACGAGTGGCAGACTGAATTGATCATTTACAGCTGAGATAGCGCATGAGGTACATTTAAAGTGGGCAACAAAACAGTTAAAGAAGCTGCATCTACAGAAATCTTATTGCTTTAAAAAAAGAAATAACTCATCAACCTGGCACAGTAAAACAAGTTCAGTTTAACATCTGTCATAGACAACAGTTAGCTCCAATCAACAATGTAAACAAATTGTAAGGATTCACTGTAAACACACTCGAAGAGGCCAGCGTCTAAAAGCTAAGCCCTTTAGATCTGGATGCATGCCTAATTTTAATACGTATTACGATTCTACAGTGCCATTACAGTCAGCTGCAATTAAGTAGCGAATGTTCAATATTTTACAGCAACTAAGCTTTTTTTTTATCTTCACTGACTCTTATAAAGCACAGTTTATTGGACATACAGACAGCAGTGCACCACACAAGTACCTAATAATTTTGGTCTCTGAATTACCAAGCAGTTAGAGCATCTGAGTGAAGTGATGCCATGCGCAATAGCCTGAGATGCTGTTGAAGTGATATTCCTCGAGAACTGAACATTTTCCAGACGTTTTGCCTCTCAGTCCAGACGTTCTGCTACTGCTTGCTGGATTAGGATATTTCCGCAAGTGTTAAAAAGGCCCAATTCTATTACTGTATTACTCTAACTCCAAAGTCAGACTAAAGAAGGGCAACAAAAAGCAAGTCATTCTTACAAATCCAAAGTAAGGATGCACATTCAAAGTGAGGAATTCTCTAACAAAATTAGAGAAGCAATGCGTGTTCTGACAGGAGTGAACTGGCCCCAAAACACAGGCTGACATTTGGCTTTGTATATTTCCATTATGTAAACATCCATCCAGGAACTAGACCACATGCTGAGCAATCACGGGGTTTCAAAAACTCTCTTCTCTGAATAGAGAAATAACATTTGTATAAGCTCCTGGAAATGTATCAATACTGCCATGAGAACACACATCTAACTGTCCTGGTCTGATACACATCAGTTATGACACTTGGCAGTAACATACAGTACTGTGCAAAAGTCCTAGATCTTAGATATCCCATTGCATGTGGAAGAGGAAAGTCATAGGTTTGTAAGTAAAAAAAACAGGAGATAAGAAAAATAATTACAAATATAGAGAAAATGGGACTCCTAAGAATCATGCAAAGACATGCTGATAGATCAGCAAATCTGTCACCACCACATAGACAGTATTACAAGTTATGATCTTTGAGAGAGAAGAGAAAATTAAGCCCCACTCATGTTTCAGATTTGAAAAAATCTACAAATGTTTCTGTCCATCCTTCCACTGTGAAAAGACAGCTATGGACTGTGGGCCTGAAAGGAATGTGTAGCTGTCAAGAAGCTGTAACTGAGAAAAGGAAATGGACAAAAATAAAAGAACATTTGCAAACAAAGAAGCTGCTGATGCTCTCAAAAACAATGGACTGACCACCCAGATGTCCACATCACTGAATGTGTTTGGGATCGCTTGGATTGTTTGAAGTAGAAAGTGCAACCAACTTCTAAGACTGAACTTTGGAGGTGTAGAAAAATATCCTTGAAGACCTCTTTGAAAAACTGAAAGCATGTCTCTTGAAAAAGATGTAACTGACTTTTGCACAGTACTGTACGTCCTGAGTGGTCTGATCATAAGTGGACAGTGCTAAGTACAGGTGTGCTCAGGGTGCAATGTGTCTGGGAGATACACCGATCACTTATTTCCTGATCGATCAAACCACCACTGGGGGTGGTCAGAGACGCACATCATCATAAAACATTTGAAGCATCCTCAACAGAAAGACCACCTGATCAGCTGCGTCATCACAGCAGCTGCATAGTTCTTTTTCTTCGTCTCCTCCTGCATTTGTGTATAAGTTACGTTAGCAGTCCATGCGGTCCAAACATTAATAACGCCCTGTACATATACACAAACAAGAACTTGTTCATCCATCCTCCAGTCAAGTAATCTGATCAGATCAGAAGACACATGCAAAATCCAGTTACACCTCGCTGTCCAGTTCTGGTCAGATCACCTCAAGACGGTTAATACCAGGTGTAAGATACGTAATAAATTCTGAAAATTGTAATTTTGGTGGAGTCGCTTTGAGCTTAGCATTTGATGAGGTACAGTTGAGCAAAAAAAGTTTTCAGACACGCTTAGCGATGCATTCACAAATCTTCAAGATTCTGTTTTCATTCCTCTTGCACATGTTCAGAAATTAGAAATGAAAATGTAAACTCTGCAAGACTCTTTGTTCATCGGCCAAAAAATGAATAAACTGCCACTTGGTCCAAAGCAAGGTACTGCAAAACACACAGAACAGCATACAAAATGAAAAGATTATCCTATGGAGCCTCGTCTTAGTGTGTGCAGTTTTGTGAAAGACGGTTAAAAAGCGCTTCAAAATGATTGCAACATGGCACAAAAAGAAGAAGAAAAAAAAGCAGCCTGGGATTGCACAAGTCTTTGTGGCACTGCCTGTGGAGAGGTGAGGAGTGTGCTCTAGATGAAAGGCATTAGCTTATGGAGTTGTCCTCACACTGTGGACCCATGTCCACGTTCTGCTGGAGTCACACCGCTGACACTTGCTCATCTGCAAGAGACAGAGACAAAAAACGAGTCTGAAAGACTAGACTAAACACATTAAACCAACCAAACATATCGAACTATTATCAACAAGAAACAGTGCACTACAAAAACACTTACACAGAACACATTTACACATCAAACAGAGAAAGCTTACCAAATCAAGCAATGGACCGTGACTGGTTTAAAGGAATCTTGTCACAAGATTTCCCCCCCAATACACTGAGCACAGATGCACTTACAGTATACTCCTGTTACAGATTGAAGTCTTTCAAGCAGACTCTAACTTAAAGGGGAATTCCCCTGATTTTTCAAAATCTTCATTATTAAATCGTTAAGATGTAAACAGTCGATCAGAGTGGTTTGATTTTCCTCCGTTCTAGAGAAACAGGAACCAGACATCTAAAAACCATTTCATGATTTGACTTGTGGCAAAGGTGGCATCCTATAACAGTGCTACATTTAAAGCCACTGAGCTCTTCATTACGACACATTCTACTGCCCGTGTTTGTCTATGGAGACTGCACTGTGTGCTTGATTTTATACACCTGTTAGCAGGTGAAGTTAGTCACTGGGGGTGCTCACATATGGCCACAGAGTTTACCTCACAGAAAGTTATGACATGGAATGTATGTTTCCTGAAGCTTGAGATGTTTACATGCACTCAATAATCCGATCATAATTGGATTATCTGATTATTCAAATAGTCACGTAAACAGCATACTCTAATTTCTTAGATCGGAGTGAGGTCTAGAAATCCGATTAAGAAATCTGATAGAGCTGGATTTCAGCTCAGTAATCGGATTTCTCAGTGCATGTGTACTCTTACTCGGATTTCTTTCGGATTTCTCAGTCTGTGCATGTGTGAAAACAGATGGTGGTACCGGAAATAAGCGAGCAGCATGGCCACGATGTGGTAGCAAAACAGTTTTGGAGCGACGCTGAAACCAAATACATGTCTGACAAAATGAAGGATTTATATATTCTTCACCTTATAGATGATGTATGGTCATATTTTCAGGTAAAGTGATGCAATGTTTTAAAAATAAAGTTTGAGTTTTACATTACGCTTATGTCACGCAGACATGCTGACATCATGATCCCTGGTTCCTATCACCACCACAGTACAGAAATTGGAGTTGGCAATTTTGTCTACAGTGAACAATTAGATGTCAAACCACTCTGAATTACTTTCTTTGCATCTCAATGATCGAATTACAAAGAAATGCTGATGGTGGAATTCCCCTTTATGACCCGAAAATATGGATTCATTTCAAGTCAGCCCAACTCAAAATGACACATACAATATCAGTAAAAAGTTAGGACACTGTTGACTGAATGTATGTTTTTTATAGTCTTAAGACATTTAATCTAAAGGTATGTTGCTAAGACAAATACAAATAAATAACAAACTTGACACTCGTGTATGAACTTCTTTCCAAAACAAAACTTTAAATAACTTCAGAAAGGCCCCCAACAAGTAGTTTAACGACAAAAAAAAAAGTCTTAGCATATGTGTATCTTCTTAAAGCATGTTGGAAAAGTAGCCCAGGTGGCTCCTCAAGAAGCTGCTTGAGAGAATGCCAAGAGCATGAAAAAACTGCATCAAAGCAAAAGGAAGCTTTTTGAAGAATTCAAAATAGAAGATAGTTTTGTTTGTTTAACGCTAACACTATGCTGGTCAATAAATAATTTTAAATGTGTTATTTCATAGTTTCGGTATCTTTACTGTAGACCTCTGAAGTCACTCGTCATTCTGTAGTCAGCATCATGCCCATATAAGAAACTCTGGTGGATTTCTCTAATTAATGATGCTTTTGAAAATTGCCGCTATCTCTGTGCTCTGTGGTAAATGAAAATGTTCCAAAGCAGATATCCAGGATGTCACTGGATCCTCTGAATTAGGAGCGTGTTTAGCAGTCGAAATATGAATAACGCCATGTACCTGTTACAAGCAAGCTACCACTGAAAAAGAAAGTCTATAAAAAAAATTTTAATGTATTTTTTCCTGATCTTCCAATTCTACCCACTAGTACAACACCATCAGCGCTAAGACGGGAATGCTATCACAAGCTTCCTCCAAAACCTGTGAAGTGAGACACTTTTCGAACTGCTGCTAATGCAATGTCATTGGACAGCTGAACGTGCTTGTAGGAAAGTGCCAACCACCAGTTCTGTTACGTCAGCTAACAGACGCCTGTGCTGGCTAGCAATGCACTGAGTGATGGGGGGGACTCCTTATCAATCTCATAATTCAGAGAATCCAGTGACATTTGACAGAAAAATGTATACACAGCAAAACATATTAGGTTCGGAACATTTTTGTTTACCACATGGCAATGATTTTCAAAACAGCATTCATTTTCTCCATAGAGAAACCAGCTTATAGATGGGCCTGACACAGACTGCAGAATGTCTATTCTTCCAACTAAGCAACTAAGAAAAATAAAGAATAGCCTTCAGGGAGTATGTGTGTCCAAACTTTTGACTGACATTGCATGAACTGGTATCGAGCAGCAAGCAGGCATGCCATGCTTGCCATGCTGATTCGGGGCTTTTCAAGCACATACCCTCCTCGCTATCTGCTAGAGCCTGGAGGATTACACTGGGAGGCCGTGCGAGGGAGCCACGCTGACCGGCCACCAGTCTTCGCGCATCGGCCAGGGTGCCAGGGCTCTGGAGCAGCTTGGACCTTTGCAAGGCCACGCTATAGTCGGGCGGCTTTAAATGCGGCGGCCGCAGCGCTCCTCCCTCATCGCCTAAGGCCAGGCCCTGGTAGCCGGGAGGAGTCGGGGGCGGGAGCCCTGTACCTATCGTCCTTGCAGGGCGAGGTAACACAGTACACTGCCGACCGCCAAGAAAAAAGGAGGGAAAGGAGGAAAAAGGGGAAAGGAAGGGAAGGGGTTGGAGTGACGGTGTCCAGAGGGGTAGGGGAAAAACAGACAGCAAACAAAAAGAAAAATGGAGCACATAAATGAGATGTTCACAAATAACAGACCACTTAAAAGAAATAAAAACAAAACACATTCACAACATGCAACAGCGAAAGGCAGCAGCAGATTTATGGCTAGCGTGTATGTTTGGTGCTTACTCTCTTGCAGCAGTTGTTTTGTTCCACAATTAAGGCCTTTTTTACGCACCGAACACAATTTATTCATCCTACATTATTTTATTTGTTATAAGTTATAATGTTTGTAACTTTCACAGGCGACATCAACTCTACTCATCATTGTTGTGCCTGCCAGTGGCATAGCAATAACCATCAACAGTAAAAACCTGTTACTTAATTTGATGATCATGTTATTATACACAGTAATCACAGCACAATAAAAGAACAGAGTTTTTTTTTATTCAGAGTGCTAGTCGTTGCTCAGAGCCTACTGGAAGTTTGTTCTCTGCTTTGTCAGGTGTGGGGCTAGCAACTCAAATTGGGTTAGAGATATCCAAAAATATGTGCGAAAGCGCTCATTATAAAGTTCCACCTGAATGAAGCGGTGAAACTCTCTGCGCTCCCTTCACTTTTCTAATATGACTAACATTTTTCTAACATGAATTACATTTTTTTAAGAACTAATGAACAGATACTCGGCTAACTGTGTGAAAGTGAAAAACTTGGGCTGACAACATGAAAAAAAAAAAGATATTTTTATATTTTTGTATATGTTATGGGCCAAATATAGTTCTTATTCACAGCACAAAAATATGCGAAAATGTTGTGGATTAAAATATTATGGCTGTCAAACTGAATGTATTAATACATGATAAATTATTGTAGCCCTCTTGTTCAAATACTTAGCTTTTAAATTACTTTTAAAGCAATATGTTCAGCCCCTAACAGACTACAATGCTCTCGCAGCAAACCTAAGCAGCAAACTAACAAAAACAAAAGCAAAGTGGAATGGTATGGTTCCACCTCAGGAGCCTCTTCTGTATTTATACCGTAACGAGCGGCAAGTTACTATCGAGTTGAAATCACAGACTGTATATGTGAAATATTTATATAACGTAGTCACTGTTGCTCTTACTGGACGTTGGTAATGAAAAACTGGAAATTGCATTCACTCTACAGAAATTACGTGATTTTCATGTTCAAGTTCATGTGAACCCTGCATTCACATGTTAAAATAATGTTATTGAGTTACTGAAAGAAACCTTTCTAATGAAGCTTATTTTACCCAACTCCGATGAGCTATAACCTTTTTTTTATGGAATTATAAATCTGTGGGGTCCAATCTGAGCAATTCAGATGAATGTAATTGATTAGAGAAGGTAATCATTTGACAGGCCTACACAATTTGGTGGTAGCACTTGGAAAAAGGGAAATTTATCAGTCCACAAAGATGTACACTTTAAAATATGTTTTAGTTTTTAAAATGGCTAAATCTTTTAACAACTGTGAGTTGAATCTGTAGTTTATTGTGTCGGATGAGGCAGACGATTGAGTAACATTAGCTGTGACTTCACAAGAGCGAATGCTAGTGGTAATTCTAGAGCTAATACTGGAGCTCCTGCTAGTTAACAGGAGGATCATAGACTGCTCAATCAGGTCCTGAACAATGCATCACATTAAGGCACTTGTGTTTTGTAGGTGCAAAATTGTTTAATACAAGCAAAATCGGCTCATTTTACAGCCTGGTTAAAATGTGAACTTGATACTGCTAGACTGTAGGTTATATTTTTTTCCACTGTGTCTTCCTGTGATGCAATGTAATGAATCCTATATTGTAATTTCACTATCTGAGTAGTGGCACCTGGAATGTTTATCAGAGTATTCAACTACTGTTTATGTCCCTAGGATGTGCCAAATGGTGTTTCTTGCAAAGTTTCTGGTAAGAAAAACGACCTTTCAAATCTTTTTTTCTGTCATTTTTGGTGTGTAAAGGCCTTAAAAGTCCTGAAAAGAGAGTTAAAAAGCAGAGGCTCAAAAGCAGCAGAAGCCAAAAGAGGAACACAGCTTCTTTTCCTCTAAAGCAGTGTTACATGAAATGGCTAATTTAAGAGCCATTTCTGTGTGGATAAATGGGAATGAAATCTGCTGATGCCTTTCGTAACAACACAACATCTGCAGGGGACCATCTGCACCACCTCCTCAGATGTTGCCGAAAGACTCTCACCTATGAGTCCTTTCTCTGTGCTTGACGTGACTGTTTTATACGCAGGGTCTGTGCTTTGCTGTCCGTTAGCGGTCTCTCCCTGACCCGAGTGCTCCGCAGCTTTGCGCTTAATGGTGCCATAGCTTCCCTCATAAGTGTCAGAGAGCGAGCTGGAGGAAGCCCAGCTCTGTCTGGAGTGGTTTAGATCCGAGCTGTCCCCGGAATGCCTCCTGCTGGTCATCCGGTCCTCTGGCCAGGCTGGCCCCGCCTCCACCTCTGCGATTGGGCCGCCCATCGGAGGGTGCCTGTGGTTCATCAGGTCCAAAGCCCTCTGAGCCTGAAGGCTCTGAAAGTTGTCGTGGGAGTTGCTGGAGCAAGAGGTCCAGCTGCCACGACCACTGTCTGCAGCCTCCGAGACAGATGTGTGGTCAGGAGTGAGCTCCTCAGTGCTGGTGGAAGAAGTGAAGGTGGAACCTCTGGTCACCGAGTGCCTCACCAAGGATGAACTACCAAAAGAAACAATCTATAGTGAGCTGAAGAAAAAAAGATAACGCACAAATACGACACACCAACGCAGAAAATATAACGTTACCACTGCAAGATGTTTTACTGGTGCTGCTTGATAATTGCTAAAATGATCTTGATTATTTTGCTCTTTGTTTGATAAATTACATCCTTAATGTCTATATTTCTTCAAAATACTGAAATCAGGCACAACAGAAAAACTAAAAAGACTGACAGCAGTTACTCACATCTGACTGTACTGTCAAAGTACTGTGGCTTTGTCCACACTTCATAGCTAGGCAAAGACAAAGACTGCTTTCTATAGTCACCTTAGTCACCTTGCCACCTAAGTTGCAAGGTTATGTGTTCCAATTAAATAAGTTTGGAGGCACCGTTGTATGCTCCAGGCCTTGTTTAGTTATGATCAAAGCAATAACTTTTTCTTTTTTTTGTTAGGATTTATATGCCTGGCAACGTGGCTGTGAAACAAACTACTTGTGCACAGCCTTTGCCTGAGATCATGAAAACCTATTTAGCTGAGCTGGTTTCACTCTGCATGTTTTACTACAGTGACAAATAAACAAAATTTCAATAAATCGACTGAATCTTGGTCTGAGATATTAAAACACCCTGTGAAAAGCTGCCTGGGTACACAGAAGCCCTATCATTAACGGTTTATTTGATGCAGCTTGTGAAAGAGCTCAATTCACAGACTCTCAATTAAAAAAAAAACAAAAAAACAAAAACGCTTTCCTTGGCAGGAAATAAAAACAGCTCATATAAAAAAACAGATACATTGTTAATCCATCAGAGGATACTGTAAAACATGCAATCCTAATAAAACCACCCTGTTTAATGCATTTGTGTTGGAAGGATTCTTTTAATAGCCTGGGACATAACTGAAAAGACCGCACTGAGGCAGGCAGGGACAGAGATTAGGGATGGGTAGATAAATATCAAAGAATCAAACCATTTGATCCAGACGTTTCTCAGTTTGGAGAACTGACCCTCACATAAAAGTATCAACACTGAGAGCTAGAGATAAAACTTGCAGCAGTTTCAGACACCGGATGCATTCTTTCAGAGTTTAATGTACAAACCTGGCATATGAGTGAATTGGATTTACTGAAGTTTTTAGCCTAGCCTTATTTTTAGGCTATGTTTTACCTGGATTTTTTCAGGTTCTTAAAACCAGGCATAAATAAATGGTAGTCTCTAAAGCTTGTGGTTGTTAGACTTATGTTTAATACAAGCAGCAGTCAACAAGACAGAGACACAGAACATTTGCTGAAATTTAAAACCAACAGAATAAGACTATTTTAACTTGTGCCAACAGGTGAACATAAGTGAGGAGCTACAATATGCACTTTTTTGCTTCTCTTCTTCACTGTGTCTTTCAAAAACATGGGGCAATTAGTAGGCATAGTAGTTACTATGCATAGTAGTTAAATGCATTGAGAGCACACACTTTGACTCATTTTGCGCTGTTATCATGTATGTGACCCTGAATGTTTTCTTTTAATATTCATTTTCTATTAAGTGGAACGTGTATTTGGTGAAGAAACTATTTCTCTGTCTGCTCTCTTTAGCTGCCTCTCACACAGACAAGACTATCATACCTATGCAGTGCTGCTGGCAAAATAAAGCAAAGCAGCCTTTCTTGCCACTCTATACACATAGTCCAGAAACAGGGTATAGTAACTAGGCCTTGGTGATATCTTTAAAAAATAACTACATGATATTTGATTGGTAAAAAAAAATCAAGGACTGTTAATTATATCATCCAGCCCATTCCTCTGATGATAGGTCACGCTCTGAGGAAACACCCAGCAGAAGCACCTATGTATTAAGAATACAGCTTAATGATCTCCTAATATATGGGAAGGATTTTTACCTTGTGGAACTAAGTTAACCACTGCCAGAACAAAAGCTTACATCTCAAAATAAAGAAATTTTACAAGAGAAGGGAAAAACAATTTTAACTTATATTGCAATGTATTGTAGTAAGTCATACTGGACCATTTGTCACAAAATTTTGACACAATGTAAAAAGCACATGGGATTCTCAAATAAAACAAAAGATGTAGATACAAATCTTAGTCTCTATTTCTGAAATTGTTTCTTATTTTGCTCCAGAATTTGATAATGATCATTGCCCTTTGTCTGTGTTAGATTTTTGTGATGAATGGACCAACAGAAATGCTTCAAAACATGAAATTTCTCCTGTTAAGTTACCATTTTAGAGATATAAAGCGCCTTTCATCAAGTGCACCTACCTTTTATCTATACTCATTGTCCATTTTATCAGGTCCACTCACTATACAGGTGCACTTTGAAGTTCTACACCTAAAGATTTTAGTTCATTTCTTTCTCTGCATACTTTGTTAGCCCCCTGTCCCTGTTCTTCAACGGTCAGCACACCCACAGGTCCCCCACAGAGCAGGTATTATTTGGGTGGTGTCACTAAAGAGACACAGATGTGGCTGTGGCATGTTAGTGTTGCATGTTAGTGTTGCACTGGTAGATATGGATCAGACAGCAGTGGTGCTGGAGTTAAACACTTCAGTGTCACTGCTAAACTGAGAACAGTCCACCAAGCAAAAATATCCAGCCAACAGCGTCCTGTGGGCAGCGTCCTGATAAAGAACCAGAGGATGATCAACACAAACTGTGCAACAACAGATGAGCTATTGTCTCTGACTTTACAAGGTGGACCAACAAGGAAAGTGTGTCTAATAAAGTGGGTAGTGATTGGACACAGTGTTTCAAAACCCCAGCAGCACTGCTGTATCTGATCCACTCATACCAGTGCAACACACACTAACACACCACGTCAGTGTCACTGCAATGCTAACACAACACAACACGTCAGTGTCACTGCAATGCTGAAAATGACCCACCACCCAAATAATACCTGACCTGATACATATACATAAAGAGACAGAGACAGAGAGAGAGAGAGAGAGAGAGAGAGAGAGAGAGAGAGAGAGAGAGAGAGAGAGAGAATGACAGAGAAAGAGGAGAAGATTCTGTACCTTGTGCATGGCTGGCAGTGGTCTGAGGCAGGGTGCGTGTGTAGCGATGTCTCAGGCTGGCTGCTGGCTTTGCCCCCACATCGCTCTTCTGAAGGGCCTGCAGGCATGGAGTCCACTGAGCAGTTACTCACTATGCTGGAGCGAGAGGAAATCTCACTGTGGCTCGAATCTGACTGGTCTGACTTGCCTGATGGCATCAAAGCATAGCCTGCTACACACACACAAACACACACACACACATAAAGCGATCATTGACTGTGCATGTGCTACTTGATGCAGAAATCTTGAGGAAACTTAAAGCTTACTGCCAGCACTGACTGGAAAAATACACAAAGAATACTAGGCTTTTTATTTCTCAAATAACAAACTTAACACACTGTAAAAAATTCATCTTAACACTAGTTTTGATTAAATGCTCCATCACTGACTTCAACTCAAGAGGGGTTGGTTAGCTGGATCAGGGCTCGTATTATTGAAGCATCTCAGATTAGGAGTGCTGATCTAGGATCTGTCCCTGTCAGTAACTCTACTGTCAGTCTACTCTAATAAGCTTTGTCAATACAAGCCCAGGTGCGCTCTATCAGGGAAAACACCGAAATGTACAGAAAACCATTCAAGTAGTGAAACATGGCTTGCTGCAGATGACCCAGTCAATTCTGAACACTGCAAATGTTGAATCGTATAAAGGAACGAAGGACAGTTAAGTAAGCATGTGACTGTTTTGTCTGAGAGGCCACAACGGGGGAGAGATAAAGTTGACAAAAATGCAAAGAAGATAAACAACAGACATCAGCAGTTTTTTGCATAACTCTGGCATTTTTATGTTCAACTAAATTTGCATAAATGTACTTTTGCTAACTTTGCTGTAACTATATATACACATATACATATATACACTCTGTTCTGTCCTTCAGTCTGTCCCTTCAAGTTCTTGTCTTTGAGTCAGTTCTCTTCCTTTTGTGGAGCCAGACGAAGGCTTTTGTGACCACAAAGGGCTCAAGTGTTTAGGCTGTTTTGGCATCTGAAATGGGGCCCTGTCTAGCCCTGGTGCTGCTCTCTCCTGCTTCTTCCTGCCTTCCCCTGGACCTGCTCCTCTCTCTCAACAGCCTGAAGGGTGAAAGCCTGTACTTTCTGCTGAAGCACTGCAGCTGGATCTCTGAGCCTGTCTCTATTTGCTCAAGCCTGGCCTGATCACTCTCCTTCCTGCTGACCCACTGGGTCATCTTCTGGATTTGCTTGTGGAGGAAAGCCCCACCTATACCGTAGCTTCGGCCTCCGCCTCCCACCGTGCTGCTCCCTCCAGCCCTGGCATTGGCCTCGCTGGTCAGGGACGATGAGGAGCCTGATAGGTTCAGCTGACCAGAGTCTTGTGATTTGGCTGCGTTTACTGAGAATAGAAATAAGCATAATCCAAGAATGAAGGAAAAGCTCAAGTTCATATTTTAACAATTTTCCCTCTTACTCCAACCATAGTTGATCAGCCAAGACATGTTTGATGAAGATTCTTTACTTTTGCACTGGAGCTATGAGGCTAATGTAGCTAACCAGTAATGGAAGCTTATTCCCCACCAATTAGCAACCAATCTTTTAAAACTCATGTTTTGTCAGACCCTTTAAACAACACATTTACTGCATGTGGGTCTTGTCGTTTAGACTGAATCTTTTTCTAAACAAAGGTTAGACTAAAAGGCTTGTGACTTGTATTACACTGAACCTGACACTGCTGCAAGCTGCTAGAGAATGCCATTGCAAGGCTGGTAGGACTAAATGTTAGGTTTTATTTTCCTTATCAAGCTGCAAATCAAGTTGCAAATCATTTAGTGCCAAGTACGAGTTACTCAAGTTCCCATCTCACCTATACGATACTGTTATCTTTAAAAATGGACAGACAAAATAGAAAGCTCCTCGGTAGGCTGCTACTACTATAGTTTTTAAATATACAATATATTTATTTCTGTTAAATTTCTTTATAGGTAACAGTATGTCATAAAATGATAGAAGTAAACACCAAACAAATCTTGACAGATTGACTACATTTGAGGTAAAGACAAACTGTGTGAATTTGATTTTTATGCTAAGACATTACTGTAATGGATGAGGAAAGTGGATGAGTTTGTGGCTTCACCTTTGCGAGGAGAGCCCTGTGGAGACACTGTGGGGCTGGAGTGAAGGGAAGAGACAGTGGATGTAGCATCTTCAGTCCTTTTTCCACTGCACTCCTCTGTTGAGATAGATGTTTTCTTCACCACCTGTGGGGAGCTGGAGTCTGTAGAGCACAGAGAACTGCTTAGAAACAAGCAAACGCCCATCACACACAATACACACAACCTGTTCTCTTTTCATTATCTGCAACACAAACACTGCATTCTTATAAAAAAATCTCAATAAAAGATATAGCTCTGGTCCAATCTTATCCACAAAGGGCTGCAGGTTTTCACTGAAGCAAAGCAGAAGCTCATATGATCACGTCTGAAGACTGACCAATTGATTTAACAAGTGGAACCAAATGAGCTCCCGTTTGTTTGGAATGAAAACCTGCAGCCACATATTTAACGTTGTTCAATGTTGCCGAATGACCACAGCATTAAATTCAGAACACGTGAATGTTAAGTTTGTCAAAGTGGGTCAAAAAGTACAGTGTACTATTAGTGTTGCTGAAGTTATTAACACTTGCTTAAGTTATTACAACAATACAAACACACATTTAAAAAGTCAACTATGCTAGCAGTGACACATTAAATGCTGGCACCCAGCCCCTCAGTCATCAAATTCTCAAAATTTCAGATTCTTCAAACTCAATGACAAAATACAGCCAGAAGGGGGCAGGCTTTACCAGCATAAAGAGAAAGCAGGAAGACCGACCATGTTTCATTTGGATTGCGCCTCACTGCTGAAGATGATGGCATTGGTTCCCAGCCCAGGTCCTGGAGCCCCGCAGCCTCATTATTTTTTAAGTTTTTAATTAGCTAAATTTGCTAAACAGCTAATTAGCAAACCCTAAGTTGAAATAGGTTTGCTAGAACAGAGGAAACACTAAAATGTAAAGGGCAGGGAGACAAACGACAAAAATAATCACAATATGGCAACAACCACGTGAGTGTACTCACTGTGTGCGGCCGCCAGGTCTTTAGCGATGCTCTTCTTGCGCAGCGGGTAGAGGCTGACAGGCGGGACCTGTAGTACTTGAGAGACGCGGTTCTGCGACTTGGCGGAGGACGGAGTGGAGCGCATAGACACAGGAGACATGTCTGATTTGGTCGACCTCCTTTCACTCAAATTCTTAGATACTGCAGAGACAGGAGAAAGGGTTTAGCTCACTCAAGCACTAATGCACATCTGGGAATACAACATAAAGAGAAAGTTACATTGATAAACAGAGAGCAGTACACCAGGAGGGACAAGATAGTGGAAATCAGATGGGTTAATATCTATCTACCACAAAATCCCTAATATTTAAAAATGCTTTAGTAAGTTCTAGATTTTGTTGGTTTAAAATGTTGAAATGTGTTGTGTTTCTACCAAAAGAATCCACTGTCCCAATGTTCTAATGAGTCTAGTCTCCTTTCATTCTGTAGACAGTAGTTCACTACATACAGGAGTAGGGGCCAGTATGAAACCCAGCTTTACCATTTTTGTATGTGATCTGTTCATGGAAGTGGATTATGTGAAAAAATATAATATTACGACACACAATATATCACAATATTTTCTTGTGTCTGATAAATTGGAACAGACAAAAAAGAACCATTAATACCATATTTAAAATTTATTCAAAAATTATGAATACACATTATTGTACCACACCACACTGCACTGAATCTAATTAATTGAATCAAATGAATTAATCATGATTAATTATGCTCACTTTGTATGGAAACTTGCAGTCGGTTATTGTTCTTTAAGTACTAAGTAATAAAGATATCCGTAATATACTCAGAAGAGCATCTTGTGATGTAATTTATCACAATAAATATTGCCATACTGCCCAGCCCTATCTGTTCATATAACTAGGTATTTATTATTAAGTAAATATTGGGACAGCATATATGCCTCTTTATGGCAGCATTTACAGCTGTTGAAATATCAGTCAACTCTGCATCCATGAAACTTCAGCTTGCACATGCACGTTTCAACAGTGGGAGTCTGCTAATCAGTGAGAGATACAGACTCGATGGCCACTGTAAATGCCATAAGAAAAAAGCCAAAAGCATAGTAATAAGGAAATGTAAGCCCTCTGCAAGTGAAAGCAGCCTCAAACAAAGTAGGAACAAATTTTGCTATCAGCTACCAGACACTTAGCTTGCTAATATTTAACATGGATCAGAAAGATAAAAATGTTTATAGTAGTTTAACTCAAAGCGCTTGATGGACTCAACTTTAACAATTTAGCTAACTGTAATCATTTTTTTACATAAAGGGGGTTCAATGGGGTTCTTAAGATAGGCAGACAGTCTGACATAATGTTGACATTTGGATATCTGTAAGAATTATTAAATGGACTTTAGGTTGACCATGACAATAGTCTTAGCTGATATGTATAGCTGATTTCATGAAATGAAACACACTGCAATTAACTTTTTCTCCACTAGTCGGTGCATGTCTTCTTTGTACAGACATGAGGTAGAGCTGAAAACTAAAGACTTACATGATTCTCCCAAACTGAAAATAATAATAGGGCACTTCTGATAAATCTTGTTTCCTCTGAGACTGGATAAATAATGAACAAAAGGGGGGTGCTAAATTTCACCTTTAAAGAAAAAAAAATATCACAACTTATAAAATACAGAGATTCAAAGTCATACCTCATTTCAAACTGAACTAACCAAATGGAAGCCAGTTAATATTCCAGATTCAAAGCAGATTAGGTTAATGCATTCTTGCTAGATTTTCTTCAGAATGTGCAGTATGTGTTGTATATGGCTCTATTTAGAACCTTTTTAAAAACAGTTTTATATAACACCACTTCTACTGTTATAAGCTTGGCTACATAACAAAATAAGTGCTTTATAAATAGTATAAAAATATATTTTTACTCTCCATAGAGGTTAGGGTGTCTTACTACCAGGCCACCTATAGATACACCTCAAACAACACGTCCAAGTTGTCGTTTCAGTAAGTTGCATACTCACAGGTGCTATAGGCAGGCTCACACTGCAGTGACATGATCTGGAACTTCTCCTCATCTGTTTCCACCTGTAGATGAGCCAGGTACTGCTTCACCTTTCGGGCCATCTGTGCGTCTTCGTACAGCTTCTTGGCATTGAGCAATGAGCTGCGTCGCACGCGCTTCTTATGGCCGCCCTGCACATCCAGCAGATTGGAGTTGGTGCTGCCCTGGCTCAAGGACCTGAAGAAGAACATGTGGCTTGTTTATATAGAAGGAGGAGAGATGTCTTTACTGTAGGTACAATGTCCTCCGAATGCCGTTACATGGTTAATAAGAATGAAAGAAACAACAGAAATAAACACCAACTGAAGTAACAAGTCAAGTAATTAGCATGCCATTTTGGTTAGAAAATTGATAGGACTTTGCAGGTTCCTACTTAAAATTGAATTCCACTGATTTTTCAAATTTTCTGCATTGTTTAAAATATAAACAAAGTTGCTTTGATGCGCTGTATTCAACAGAAATTTACTGAGTCAGAATTGTTTACAGTTTTGGTGACAGGAACCAGACATCCAGAATGTTTAATACTTACTAAAGCTACCTCACAGAAGCCCTATTTTATGAAAAGGTTACTGAAACATTGCCTGATGTCTGTGACAATATTTTAATGATTGTTTTGTGATACATTTTTGGCCTAAAACTTATTTTTAAGAACATTCATGGTGGAGAGGTACATGTAGGGTTAAATAACCCAAAGAAAACACTATTCTTTCATATTTAACCCCTTTTTTTTACCATTATCAACATTACATACAGTGTAAAACTCTGAAGACTCAGGTTTTAGAAAGTAAATGAAAAGTTATATTTGTGTTGCAGACTGTGTGACCCCTGGTTCCTAACACCACCACTGTAAAGAAATCAGATTGCTAAGCAGTGCAGTGCGCCATTCAGACCACTCTAAATGACTTTGTTTACATCTCAACAATTGAAGTGAAAGGTTTTGCTTGGGACCCTAAACTAAAATATTACCAAAAATTTAAATTTGAAATGATGAGTGCTCCTTGGTTTTAGGTTATGCCTCCATTAGTTAATGTTTGCCATCATGATAATACTGAATGAGCCATGTTGCATGAGGAAGAAGGAAACTCAGGGTGTTAAGCTTTCAGGCCTTTGTCTAGCTGCAAAGTAAACAACTGAGTTCATGGCATTCTCTGCATCCACACATAGTTCATCTGCATTTTGCACACCAGAGCAGAACAACTTAATGCAACCATGCAACCAGGGTCTTGTCCAAACCAGTCAATGACATCATGCCCAGAAACTAACAAAAAAAATCGCAAAAATAAAAATATAAAGATGATGGAACAGCCATTGCTGGATCCTGCAGATGAAAGAGCTGGGGCCTATTTTTGTACATGAGGAAGGAGGAATGGGTATGACAGGGTTAATGACGATGATGCATACAGGGCATGCATGGATGCAGCTGGACAAGGAGAGAAAGACTTACCCTAAACTCTTCCACCTCTTCTTCCTGAAATCAAGAACCATAAAAGGGAGGGAGTGGAAGGTAGCAGGGCAGAGAGAAAATCAGAAAGAGGACACATCCTCACTCACCCACAAACATACAGGCACGAATGCTTAATGAGAGCAGGGAGAGAAAAGAAAACCACCACCAGAGACTTTACACGCCATCTGGGGCCACTCTCTGGTCATCCTAGAATGTGCGGTGCCTACGGAAGCTCCAATGATGCAAAAATAACACACGTATGCCCAGTCCACCAGCACCAGTGTTTCAGTTACTGTTAGCTTTATAAACCACAAGATTGTTGGTATTTACATTTATGGCATGCCTTTATCCAAAATGACTTACAAAGTGTTTTGTTGTCCCCTAGTAAGGGTCTTATTTGCAAGATTATTACTAAGGCTAGCTTAAGTAACAGTTCAACATCAGCATCAACTAGTTTGCTTTTTGCTCAACAACCTAACACTCTAATTATTTATAGCATAAGAGTGAAGTGAGATATTGTTGCACCAAACTCAGCAGCGCCAGAAATAATCATTGTTTACACGCATGACATTGGTCTAACTCAGGCTATGTCCACAGATATGCTGTTTAATGTGGCCTGTATCTTACATTAGTCTGAGCAGGTCGTGGAACCTTACAGCATATGTAAAATAATGCTTCACCAAATGTTCACACAACAAACAGACAAACACTACCCATGCTCGTCTGACTTGTCCTCCGAAATAAAACACTAAGCATAAACAAAGTCACAGGCATTTTGATGGCGTTGCTGTAAGAGGTCTATTTTAACCTGAATGAAATTATGTAGAACGGATCGGATAAATCGGATATTGGATTTCAGTACAACAGCTGCTTATCGGTCACACAAAATCCAAATTTGTGTCACATGTAGAGTCACATGATACAAAAACTGCGGTAGCCGATACCAACAGCAGCGAAATGTGACGATTCTCTGTACCAACTCCATCAGAGCAAAAACAGAAATTCCATAAAGCACAATCTGCCATTCATAAACCTTAATATTAAAACCCAAAAGGACTAGCCACTCAAGTGCTAAAACCAATAAAGCTTGAGAACATTATTTTCCATAAACAGCAGCTCAAACAACAAAAAAACAAAATGAACATGAACCTGCTCTCAACACAGACTGTCGCTTCAGTTCGTGGAACTTTTCTGGGTTATGAGGTCAAAATAAACATGAGTCAGAATATGCTGACATGCATGTAAATGAAAATATAACTGTAAACAGAACTTTTTGTACTTTTTAAACATCTCGGTTTGGTCTAGTTTCTCAGGTTAAGAACTTAGTTGGGCTATTGTGTGCATGTAATCACAATAAATGTTCTGTGTAATCAGGCTAAGAAGTCTTCACTGGTTGCTTTATTATAATGTAGCATCCATAGACACTGATGGATGAGTGTGGCAACCAATTATCACTGTAATTGAGGTTTGTTAGATGAACACAGACACAAACCTCTGACGGAACATGAGTGCCGGGTCCATGTTGGCGGAGGTCATGCGCACAACATTGCGGATCTCCTTGGCGATCATTCGTAGCTTCTCGAAGTTCACCAAGCCGTCCACAATGGAGTCGTTTCCTGAGTGATTTGAAAAGGTGAGAATTAGAAACGACAAAATGAAAAGAAAGGGAATAAAAATAAAACTGAATTATTATTCCAGTGAATTATAATGCAGTTAAACTGAGTTTCCTTACTGCTTTTACAGGCCAGACACAGCCGCATATAGATAGCAGTAAAACTTACACCAAAAATATTAGCACAATACTGCTGTGCTCAGTGTTGACCTTTTTTGATAAAGCTTCTATCACCACTCTGAAAGACACTGTACCACCATGTCTTTTGTGTCAGAAGTGTTCGACAATAAATGACATGTCACAATATTTATTTTTCAGACGTGATCAGTTGGAACAGAGAAAAATATTGCTACATTTTGAATAATATCACAAACTATGAATACAATTAATTTTTATTTCATATTTCACATACTGTTTTGCACTAAAGTTAACTGGGACTAATTTTGCTCTCTTTATAATGAAACATGCAGTTGTTCAGTGTTCTACAAGTGCTGACAATATCCACAATCTATTCATCAAAGCATACTGTATTGTGACATAATTTATCATAACGATATATACTGTCACATTTCCCAGCCCTGCTCTGAGAAACATATTCATAACTCTATTGAGAAACACCATTCACATGCTTCATTCATTTCAGTGACTCAACATTCAACAGATGTCTTGTGCATAATAAATGACTACTCTGACTATTCCTGATTAGAACCGTACTTTTCCCCATGCCATGTGACTTCCTCATCTTATCTTCACTTCTGTAGGCATTAGGCAATGCTGCCATACAAAACAAGAAATGGAAGTGAGCTGAGTTGCAGAAGTGAGATCCATTAGGCTAGCCAAAGGGGTGGCAGAAAAGTAAGAAATGGAAAAACATATGAAGGCAAATAAAACCCTGATTACTCATTTTGTAAAATTTGCCTGAGGAGTATTCAGATATTAAAATATATATATATATATATATATATATATATATATCTCGTGTCGTTTTTCTGAATTTATACAAACACGATTTCATTTTATAGTAAATTTTTTTTGCTAGTTTATGTTTATGAACAGAGACCTACAGATGCAGTTTAGTAAAGGAAAACTCATTTGTGAACCTGTGCTTAAAGTTTTTATTAACTTAAACTTGTAACTAAGTTGCAAATAAATCTTAAACCGAAAGTTTGCTTGTTAATGAAAAGGTTATGTCAGAGCCACTTGGTTCTATCTAATGGACATTGTTTGCCTTCGGTATTTTGTGCTTATGATAATTTAATAGACATCAGCGTCACTAATTAATGACATTCTATTAAAAGACTGGTTTACCAAGAGTGACACTGGAGTATTTTCACCTAAAATGAGTTGATAAAGCAAGACTCTTGTTACAAAAATGATAATAGAACATTAAAGTCATAATGAATCTTTTAGTACTTTTACTTTTGATACTTTAGTACATCTGAAGGCAAATACTTTTGTACTTTTACTCAAGTGGAGGTCTAAAGGGAGGAACTTCTACTTTTACTGGAGTAATATTTTACCTTGGGTATCTCTACTTTAACTCAAGTACATGATTTGCCTACTTTGTCCACCACTGACGAAGCCCTAGCATGTGGAACTGGCAAAAATGACAAATTTTCAAAAGGCTAATCTTTAAAGTAGCTCTGTTTTCTGATATATTCATACGTTTTTCTATATTGCAAAACATAACATTTGCAATATGTAGCATTCTAATTGCTGTGCTAGTATTTTGTCCATATCATTCAGCCTTACCAGCAGAAAATAAAAGCTAGGAGGTATCAGTTGTGAGTCATGATTAGCTATGTTAGGTTGGATCGGTAAATGTGTAAGAATCTTGCACGTTCCATTTTGCATTTACACACCTTCATGCAGGAATGTGAGGTCTTTCTTGACTACAGGGAAGAGCGGGATGATGGGTGGCTGTACGCTTTGGCTGCTCAGGACGTTGCGGTATTTGGCCATGTTACGTGATGGGTCAAAAATATCCTGCAAGTCACGGAACAACTTCTCATACTTGCTGGGGAGCTTCTCCCATGTGCCTCGTAGCCTGGACACTGGGGAAAGGTTCAAGCCACTAAGCAAAAAAAAACAAAAAAAAAAAACAAAAAACAAACACAGACCATACAGATAATAAGCAAATGTCCTTTTCCATGTTAAAACATTAGCAGAACGTGTACCCATTTGACAACAAACATAAAAAACAACATCTGATGGTGCCATATACATTCATGTTCAAGGCTGACTAGCTCTTTTAACTTGGATCTTTTGATCATCTTTTTACTTCATTAAGTGCTCTATGTTGAGCACCAACCTGTTAATAATGAAAGATCATAGACCAGAGAAAATGAAATGTTCTAAATGTTCCCAGATCTTTCTAATGACATCAAGGCAAGACAGTTTGAACCAGACTCAGGTCATTATTGTCAGAGTGAGTGGTTTTGGACTGCAGCTTACTAGAATGCTATCCTATTCAATATGACAAGCTTGCATGAATACTGAACATGCAGCTTCATATGCCATTAATCCAGCCTCTAACTGAAGGCAGATGCTCCTGTGTCACATGACTAAAAGGCCTGGAGGCCCAAGCACAGAGAGAGAGACATTTCCCAGAGCTACGCTCTCCAGCCCACTGCTCAAGGCCACATGAGACGCTGCCTGAGTCTAAATATCTATTGTAAACAAGCAGCAATTCAGATGATGTCACTACCTTTTGAGAAGCTGCCACTCATGACAACAGTAACAGTGATATGGATTGAGTGTAGCAATGGGCAATGGTAAAGCCACTGGAGCTCCCGCATACAATCAATAAAAAAGGATGAAATCATTATGGTTTTGGATGTAGTGTTTAGAGTTGAGGGAGTGAGCGAGAGAGAGAGAGAGAAATTTCAACAACAAAACAATGTGAAACAGTCATCAGTTTTTCAGTGGTTTACGTTAGAGGTTCCCAACCACCAGGTCGCAGGCTGTTACTGTATGACGTATGTACACTTTGTTTTACATCACTTTGTAATTACTGGTAAAACATTATTTTGTTATCACAAATACCTTTAGTGACACTATTTTGATTGTTCTTTTTTAAATGAAACACTCAACATACTCTCAGTAACTTACCAACAACATATCAATGTAGCAGCAGTGAATACATTCAGTAGATTATCAAGAGATTTTTAATTAACGGCACAAACAGAATTTGTTTACAGTTTGTCGATTTTAGTTGTTTTTCACTTTATTTGGAATGCTGAAATTCTTATCTGTATATGTTAACTTGAGAGGTCACTGAACATGTAACAATATCTTTACAGATATGTTGCTGACACCATTCTGTAAGTGGACTTTAACCAGATTAGATTTTGGTTAAGATTAGGTTTAGGGCCTGGGTTAGGGTTAGGTTTTGGGTAAGGTCAGGTAAGGTTAGGTTTTGTGTAATGGAAGTAACATATTAAGTCTACTTCATATAACATATAAACAAGACAACAACTTAATGTAAGTAATGTATAAACAGTACATCTTCAAGATATGTACCTCAATGTATTCAGATGCTGCACTACTGCCATTTCACTGATGTGTTACTGATGCTCTGTTGTGAGTTTAATAATCATCTACAAAGGACCGCTCAAATTAAAGTGTTACCATAACTTTTGGTACGTACATTTCAACTGTGTTTTTAAGGAGCTGAATAAGATCAATATAATTTGCTATGCCCAAAAATTTACCTTGTTAAAAAATATTTTATCATCCAAACAATATATGGATCATTCTACTGAATTAGTTTAAAGTGAGGACCCACAGTAAAAAAAAAGAAAGCTACTTAAAAACTACTTAAAAACATTAACCTCTTAAATGGCCAGGGCCATAAAATAGTTTTACTACACACTCCTATGACCTAAGAACAGCCCAACCAGTTTGCACTGAAGTCTCTGTAGTTACTGAATAATAAGCCTTAGTATGTAATAAGCCTGAGATTTCAAGGGGTTAAGTATTCAGACCCTGGATTTTTACAAGGATTATGTTACGATCTATCTGACCCCAAAGCATTAATTGAGATGAGCTACATATACACAAAATCATCATTTATAGGGTACTTCCTATTGGGAAGTGGTGGTCCCAAACCGTTAACCCTAAAATATTAACTTGTTATTAACTGACTTTGAACTAATGCAGTAAAATTATTCATATTGTTGAGAGTCTAATTTTGACAATAATATTAAAAACATATCTCTGTACCACAGCAACACACATTACCCTCTGATAAGCAAAGGAAGAACAATTATACTGTCCTAACAAAACAGTGTCATAAATAAAAAATATAAATAAATACAACAAATAATTGGAACAACAACAACAGCAACAAAAACTACCTAAAATATCTGAACATCTAAACACCCTCCACCCACCTGATGATGGCGAACATGGAGTTGAAGTTTTTGCATTCACGGCAGTGTAGCGCAATCTTGATGAAGTGCTTAATGATCTTCATCCGTTTAAGTGTGTTAGCCTCGCGGAGGATTTCAGCGGCCACCCAGAAGGTCTCCTGGTTGATGAGCTCCTCAAACTGCTTCAAGTGGCCTCCGCCTCCACTGCCAGGGTCCAGCTTAAAGAGGTTGTCCACGTACTCGGTGGACTCAATGTTCCGAAAGATTCCAAAGTCACGCATCGAGAGCTGGGCTGCAACTTCCACGGTGCTGAGCTGGAGTAGGCTGATTTGGCTTTCCCTCAGCAGCTCCTGGGCATCCTCATCAGAGCACAATGTCTCCGTCTCCATGTTGTTCTTCAGGTAGTACCTGGTCAAAGAAAGGCATAAAGGCATAACCACTCGTGAGGTTTCTTTAACGCAATTACTCAACAATCAGTGAACCCCAATCTTATTTTCCATTTCAGTCCTTATTATCAATATTAGTACTGTTAAGATCAAAATATTTTACAGACAATGTTAACTGAAAGCATTTTTTGCCCATTTTTAGAGCTAAAAACTACCACCTTCTTAATGGGACTGTGCCGTTTAAGACGCGACACTTTCGTAAAGGTTTCTGCTTGTACTGCACGTCAGTTTAAGTTGTATTGTTAGGCCTGTTGAAATGGACGATCTTATACGCATTCAGTTGCAATAAAAATGCCAAGAGCGACATGTTTCTTGGTGGTCTGATAGTTGTGATCCATTTACCCAGGAGGAGGAAAGAAAGAAAACAGTTACTGATACACTTTCCTTGGAAGGCATCCAAGAGGGCCAAGCTGAAGTGCTGCAGCTAATGGACTTGTAATGCACGCTGCTTCAAAACCTCGTTTACACCACTTCAACAGAAACACGGCTCTTTTGCTAGAGTAAGGTCCTTCAAATGGCGGCTAAATGGACAAGAGCACCTGCAGTGCTGCATATGAATAAACTATGATTTGCTGAGATGACAGAAATCGTGAAACAGTCTGAACATAAGTTGGAACTTGCCTATAAATTACGTTTGCACATCATATACCATAATGAATTATTACCAATTGAATTTACTGGCATTTGGCAGAAATACCACAGATAAAGCTCTGATGATGTCTCTTTCATGTCTCTATAAGAAAGCCACATTTTGGAATATGATGCTAGCTCGAATATACTGTCAGGCACACGGGTTGACGTTCATGTTATTCACCTCTTTTAAGGTTAACTAATGAGGCTGTTTGAGTTTAAGAAATTGAACAATTGAGAACTGAATCACATTTGACAATTTAGAGTTGATTCCTGAATCATAAATAAAATTTAAACAATTGGAATAAAAGTTATATTGGGCACTATTACCTGTTATCAGACTGTTTTAATATTGTTCTGGCCCTAAGTATTTTGAGCATCCTCATGCAATGCAACTGATATATATATTGAATGAATCAGAGCTAAAAGCAAACTGTGTAAACTCTGAAAAGAAAAAAAGATGACTTTTAGGGGCTGCTCTATCTCAATGGAATGTGTCAACCTTTAGACTTCTGTTTCTGACCAGAGCATCAGAAAGCATCCTGGGTTAGGTACTAAGGGAGGGATACCAGACATGTTGTCTACAGAGAAACACCCAGTCAATGAAAAATTCATCCTATAGAGCTGGAGCCAGTCTGCAGGGGGGGGGCATCCATTTCTGATAGGAGGCCGGCAGATTAGATAGAAAGTGGAGGATGACTGGTCATGAGATGTGCATGCAAGTGAAAAATCAGGGAATGACAGTCATTAATGTAGTTAAACCTGTCTGACAGGACTGTGAAATAAGAGAAGCATTTTCGTTGACTGTCAGCATATAAAAGACACATACGCGCTTCATTCTAAATGTACAGCCATGATACTCCTATCATACATGGTGACAGAAAGAGTGAAAGCACTGCTGAATTCAAATCAACCAATCATGTTAGGTTCTTACTACTGCATGAAGTATCCAAAGTTCAGTGCTTTCTTAATACTACAATGTGGCAAACAATTCAATTACTTTCACTACAACCTACTTTATTTATTTGAATAGGCTGACACTCCGCACTACAGACCAAACATACTACTTATGCTAATTTGACTCCATTGGACAAAAAACAAGCAAGAAATCCACATATGCCACTAGGCCTATGTCACAGGGTACTGTGATCAGATATCGGTGATGACTGGCAAGTAATCTAAAGACGATGATTCGAAGGCGATAACTGCCATGTTGGGAAATAGAATCAATAGAAAACTAATTTCATTTAAAACAACTTTCTAATAAAAAAAAATAATAATATGAACAAACTTATTTCCGTTCACTGTCAAATACACTGTTTGTGATATGTATATGTAATGTTTTATTTCCATCCACTGTCAAGACAGCAAATTGTCCAGATGGCTCATGTTGAAAATGTAATACAGCAGGAGCGTTTGCATTTGTGATGACAGTTTATTATCAAACGATGTTGAGTTACTCATTGTTTTATATTATATGTACTATGTACTATATAATCCTCATTTTTTCACAAAAAAAAAACTGTACTAATTTTTTTTAGACATCACACAGCCCTATATACCATTTGTGAAGCTCAAGTAGTAAGTGTTTCCTAGTATGGCCAGAATAAATAAAAGTTGTTTTTTGCCGTCCTTCGTGGAAAAGACAAAGTCATGGAGTGAGGTTTGGGCATATTGTGCCTAATTTGCTGATAAAGACAACCAGTCAACAGACATAAACAAAAAATACATGTAAATGGTATTATAAGTTTTTTCAAAGCACTCAACATCTTTCTGGCTAAGGTTTGGGATGACAAGCTTGACCTGTTTTTTTCCCCTGTGTTGTGACACTGTAGATGTATTTTTTGCCACAGTATTGTTTTGGTATTGTTATAAAGGTCAGAATTCTAGTATCTTGTCAACCCTAGTTCAGATCTTACCTGCCGTTGAGTTGGATGCGGTCAGCCAGTTTGGAGAGCTGGTCTGGTAACCGCCGCTGTTTAATGACACCTTCTGGACTGATGGACACCTCGCACAGCGAATAGGTCTCGGGAGCAGCGATGAGGCCAAATTCGTTGACCACATGCGAGACCACATCTTTGGCTGTGGTATCTTTACTGATTATGATGTAGCAGCTCTGCTGGTCTGCTTTAAAAACACGTATCACTTGATCTGGAATGTCTGTTGGTGGAAAAAAAAAGAGAACGGCAAACAAAAGTCAGGCAAAGGAGCTGAGACCTACCTGCCTTAGTCATATACCATGTAAAGGAATAGTCTGGCAAAAAAAAACAAGAGAAAAAAAACAAAACAAAACAAAAAAAACACACATATTTGCACAATTTTTCCCTCACAGATAATACTACTCTATATACAATGAATAAAATTCAGGCTTCCGCTACTTCTTTTTTCCTATGCAATGTACTTTTTTCTCATTTTTATAGACAACATAAACTATATGTCCAAGAGTATCTAAACACCTCTACCAATTAGTGAATTCAGCTACTAAGTTAGTGAATTCAGGTGCACCCACTGTTAATACAGGTAGTTCAGTGGCACTCACACAACTTGTGTAATCTTTAAAGGAAAGCATTACCAATAGAATGGGAAATACCTAACTAAAGCTTTCATGGATGCCACAATACAATAAATAACAATCAAGAAGAACTCACATCATGCTCTCATTCACACTATATTGCACTCGTGAGTGTCACACCAATTATTAATTATTACCAACTATTAATAGAACAGAACCGAAGCTAACATTATTTCTCACACGCACGCACAGCAGGTAGGTCCAGTAAATGCTCAAGCAGAGCCTTTAAGCATCTTGTGTGAGAACTGTGTATACTCAAGCAGGGCCGCTAACAATGCTGTGGGCAGACAGTCCAATGAGGCAATGATGAGGCAGACATGACGGATGAATGCGTGCTAATATGCTGCTTCCCTACATCTCTGTCAACCAGCAAGGCAATCTGATGTGCACAATGTGGTGCGCGGTGGAGCCGTTCACAAGAGCAATGGGCTCTATGCACTCTTGCCAAGGACATGGAAGGCCATTAGAGCCATATCATCGCTGAAATGAGCCAGGGCTAAGGCCAGCGGCTCTGGAGCCAAATAGGCTTCGATTAAAGACACTGTGGGGAAAAAAGAGTCCTGTTGCTGTGTATTAACTGGGATGCATGCTTTGATCAGCAATCAATGTTGCATTGGTCGAGTCTGATTAAAACTGGGAGCGCCCAAAAAAAGCTATTTATCTGGGCAGTAAGTGTTTATTTGCTTACAATACAATATAAGAAACAATATAAGTATAAATAGGAATAAAGTAGTGTATAACCAAACACTACTAACATTATATCTGGAAGGCACTAAATTTAAGGAGTTTGTGGTTGGAGAAAACTGGACAAAAGTTTCATTAATTGGCAAGACAATAACCATATTATACAAATATGTGGGCAGAGAATGCTAAAGACACAGGTAAGATACTAAACAATTACCCAGACAAGAACTGAAAAAAATGGACAACACCTCTGAAGCGTTATTGTAGATACAGGTTCATCAAAGTATGCAGAAACCAAAACTGAAGAGTTGGAGCATGCCTAAATGGACAACACATGAGCCAAAGAGAAAGTAAAAGAAAAGTGAACCCTTAGAAGTTGTAGTTATGTGGGTAAAACAAAAGCATTTGATATTAATTTGATATTAAACATTCCTCACTGAGAACAACCAGAGAAATGCTGTTGAAAGTTTGGATTCTAAGTTTACAACCGACACCGAATTTGTCTGTAAGCAGAAGAGGAGATCATTTTTATGATGATCTGAACTTAATGAAACGTTACACCATCTTGCGATGCAGACAAAACATCCTTTACATTTTTGCCCCTGAATGGCACTGAAACAAGGCAGACTTGAACCTCTTGATGTAGAAAGCAGTTTGAATTAAAACTGTAATTCATTATGTAACCAACAAGGTAACTGGTCACCGGATTATATAATTATATCTAAATAATGTAATGTAAATCAAATGTATACCAAAATGACAATCACAACTCTGGACTTCTAAGGGTTCACAGAAAGAGCTTAGAGTCGACATAGAGCTTGTACTCACAGTAAAACCCAGCCGCTGGAAGAGCAGAAAGAGGGGACAAAAGGAGGAAAAAGAGGTTGAAAATATGACAGAACATAATAGGGAAGCGGGGTTGACCTTGTGCCATTGCTAAAACACAGATCACTGTCTCTCTCAGTCTGTGAATCTTGTCACAGCTTAACCAAACATCTGTTTACAATTTAGCGCATGTGGCTAGCCACACAAAGAGCTTTTTAAATCCAGCTTCTTGCACAAAGTGCTGCTTTAGAATCAGTTCCTTCTCTACCTGTCCCAAAAGTGACCGTTAGAAGACAGTACAGTAAAAATGCTAACGCTGCTAACTGTAAATAAATGCAAACACAAAATAGTATTAATTAGTATAAAATTTTATCATGCTAACCAACTGCTTTAAGCTTGTATTTACAGTTAGCCTTGTTTGGTCAAGCCAAGCATTTACATAATTAGCAGTATGGAAATGACACTGGTGGCTGCTAGCTTACATTCACAATTAACTACGCTAGCATATTTGTTTAAGCTATACTTTTAACAGAGAACATATACTGGTTTCTGTTTCTCTGTATAAACTTTTTCATTGATCAGAGGATAGATAGCAGAAAAATATTACATGTAAACACCTCCTTGCATTAAACCTCAAGAGGACAGAGCGCACTGCCTTTAACCTGTATTCTAGATTTGATTACATGTAGTGTAAGTTAGCCCCTCATATTTTGTTCCTCAGTGCTGCTCCTCTAAATGTTACAGTCAATGAGCAACAAGCCTACACAACCCAGCTCGCTGTAGTCTGAGCCACTGTATTTATCATATTTATTATTTTAAAATTTCCCTTGGTCTCTATATTTGCAGGCTAATCGTTGAAATATAACATGGTAACAATAGATAATGACTGCTGGTGCATAATAAAGTGCAGCTTATCCGTTCCCAACAGCATACTGCATTATCTTGCATGGATAATAATGTGTTTCAAACTGCAATAGGCGTGCTTCATCCCCTACGACAAATAAGAATAAACTGTAAACGACTAACATGATCCATTCCAGTACACTAGTAGGGATAGTATGAAATGTCCTATCATGAGTTTATTGTGTACATATCAGTAGAGCTGTTTACTGTTCAGATTATAACTATGCACACATGTTGTTGTGGAGTCTGGTTTGCAGGGAGATGAGTGACTTTTTAAAAAAGCTGCAATCAGACACATTATTGGAATAAGTCAAACGTAAAACGGGTCCGTAGATCTCCAAAACTAAAGCAAATGCTAGTTCCCTCAAGACTAATCTTTCAAGGAAGACTGAACACATAATTAATGTTAATGTTAATTTTCATATATTTTCATAAGAAGTACTGATCTTGTGAAAGTTTTCAGCAGAATTAGAAAGCTTCAAGTTTCCAAGCAAACGGCAAACATGTAGCTGGAAGAGAAAAAAAAAACAGAAATGCTAATAAAAGATGACAGATCTGATGCAAAAGCAGAACAGTGTGTTGAAGCAGCATTTTTCAGTGTCTGAATTCCCACTGTGCCAGGCGCTGTTCGTGTGGCCCTTGAGAAGACTTCTCACTGGGGGATTTGCAGTCAAGCACACATGCAGAAATGCAACAAACAACGAAAAAACTACTCCTCGTAAGTGTACAATGTTTCAGTAACCCCAGTCTCACATAGTCAGCCTGGAAAAGTGAACTTAATCTGTTATATATGGATGTAATTTTATTTTATGCACAGGCTCACTTCTCTCGGAAAACAGAAACAGCATGAAGGCAAACCTCCTGCATATGAAGGATTATTATAAAGGATTAAGAGTCAGCTGGAAGCTCCAGCGGTGCTCTCCTCTCTCATTCTGATTTGTGTCTCAAATGACAGACATTAATTAGTTAGTGATCAAGATAGTACACTAATACTTGTGGAAAAGAAAAAAAAGAACCTTAGTGCCTACACTACCCTAATGTTTAATCTGTGGTGTACTGAGAGACTCTGGCTTTGTCCTCTCTTACTCATTAAAATCTACTCCTAGAATAGCATGTCCACGATGGGGATAGTAAATTGTATCAGCATGTTCAAATGGAGCTTTCCGTGTGCTACCATGTTTTCTATCACTATGTAAATGAAGCAAGATGCTGCCTTTATTACTGAATGTGCTGTGATGGTTTCAGAGGGAATACGAGCACACACTTAGAATGGAATTCAAATCGGTAACAGCTTATTATTGATTACTTTTATCAACATAAAGGAGACTGAACTGGGAAGTCCAGTACTCATTTCATTTCTTTTTGATGCTATGATAGTTTTCAACTTCATGCATTATACAGATTGAAAAAATTGTAACAACATTAAGAAATCATATTATTGAAGAAGCCATAATGGAGAATTCATGATTGGTCTCCAATCCCCCTGCTGTTGCCTTAAATTGACCCATGGTGTAATCTTAGCTCTTCAACATACTGTATATTAGATCACTGCTTGGAAATATGACTTCCTTTCCACTATGATGCAAAGAATTAAAAAGGGGAAGACTTACTTCCCTGAATTAGGGCTGAAATGAAAGTAACGGGCCTCACCTGTAGGGTTGGAGAAGTCAAGCACACTCGTGGCTGGCTGCAGCAAATCGGGGCTGCTGGACGACAGACTGCCCGGGATTGGCATGATTGCCACGCTGTGCCTGCACTGCTTGGTTCCCACGATGCTGTCATCCTGAGACTGTCCCACACCTCCATCACTGGGAGAGAAAGAGGTGGGAGGAGAGAGAGAGACAGAGAGAGGGGGAGAGTTTAAGGTACATAACAGGCACAGACCTTTCAGGTTTTTTGTACTTCTCTCAGGGTTATGCATGAAGCATGCATAAGGTACACATTTAACTGGTTTGGGTTGGCAGTCTCACAGTGGTTGAGAGAAGCAGCATAAATGGACACATTTAAATTCACGATGCATTCACAGAGCACACTGACTTGTGAATAGTCAAACACGACCCAAATCATGCACCACAAAAAGACAATTGCAAGCACAGGTGGTCATTTACCACAAGCACAAAGACCTACACACATTCACACGTATAAAATACTGTCATTTACACAAAAATGAAGTGAGTGCAGTCAAAGAACGACAGGACCGACAGGACATTCATGCGCGGATTTCAAAAGGAAAAGCTGTGCGAGAGCTTGTCCTTCTTAAGCAGAAAACAGAATGCTGTCTCCTGAGCAAGCTCTTTTGTCGTGGCTTATGGATCAAACAGGCTATGACCATTACACAAACAGGCTCTTTAGATTAAAACATGTATTCAAGAGTGACCGCCAGGTCGCACCCTATATCTTTTGTTAATCACAATATTGGTGTTTATGATACTGATCCCACAGAAAGCTTCAATATGCAACAAATCACAACTGTATTGCGATGAATCACATAATCCATATAATCCAAAATTATGTAAACTAATGGTGGCTAATCTTTCACTACATCATCTTACTGATGTAGCTGCATATTACTATTACTGTGGTTACAATACATTACAATACAATGGCAACATAATCGTAATACTAGCACTTTATTCATATCGCACAGCTATACTAACCACTGGTCCTGGAGCACGTATGGCTACATTGCTGATATGAAATGTATTTTTTTTTGGCTGCCGTTGGGATCTGGCCTGGGGAACTCCACAACCAGTTTAAAGCTGCCTTTACATTATGGCAATAGATGGACAACAGCAAACTGGATATCCCACATTTTATTGAACTGATCTGCGATGGAAAATTCGGCCACCACCATCAGCACAGGCGGTGGTCAGTGGTCTGAACTTTTGCAGAAACACAGGCAGTGAACGGTCAGAGTTGAAGTCTAGGAAGTCTGTTCATGTACAAGAAAACCAAACTTCAACACGATTGGAAACACCAGCATGTGTGTTTTAGGATAAAACAGTGGCTAACACCATTGGCCTCACACAGCCTGGAATGCCACTGCCCGTCCAGTAAGGATATGGCCATGGCAACTTTTACATGGCTGCATGCTGCTGTCCATTATACACTGCCGCTGATTATGCCACTTCTGAGACATGGAACAAGATTTCTTTTGCCAGCATGTAAACACATTACAACTGCTACAGTGGCATTCGAAAGTCAAGGTAAGAGATAACAGCTCACAGATTCATCTCATAAGCCATAGCTTGAGATAACTGAAACAGGTTTGGGAGTAATAAACTGAGTATCTTCATGTGACTGCATAACAGATAGCTGTACTCTCCCCACTGACTGATTTGGCTTTGATTGGATGCACATACAGTATAAGTAGGTCAGTGTGACTGACAATAAATGCAAATCCACTAGAGCAAAGATTATAGGGCCTGGTCTCTTTCTTTCAATAAAACTAAGTCCAGGTCATGATAACTAATGCTTTTAGCATGACTTCTATGGCCAACTGGGCATTACACACCTTACTGAAACAACATACTGAATGCATAATAAGTATAGAACATATTATGTGCAGTGATTCATGAAGAACCTGCAGACAGAGTCTGACAGTAACTAAATCAATATTATTAACGTAGAGTGTTGAAGGCTCTGAATGTATATTCATAAGTTTAGGTTTTATACTCAGTATACACAAATGTGACCATTTACATTAATTGAATTTTGTATTAATGCACCATTTACCATTTATTGGTGTATTTTCTCATACATGTATTTTGATGCAGTTTTCTTGTGTTCTGTGTCTGGGTAACACCCATTTTCACTTCTGTTATGGCTTTATTTGACACTCCAGACTTTGTTAGAAGTACCGTTTAAGAACAACAGACAGAAAGAAAGAGCGAAAGAGAGAGAGTGAGAGAGAGCTGTGTGAGGGCATCTCTTACCCAAAGAGTCCCCTGTGCACGTGAAGCAGTTGTAAAGACAGGAGACAAGTGACAGTGAACAAAAAGCAAGCATAAAGCAAAGCACTGAGCACTTCAAACAGAGCCGACAACACAAACATACAGAAACACTGTGACTGGTCCTGGCACGCCTGGAATGTACTCAGCACTGCAGTCACAGCACAGCTTATCAGCTGCATCAATGCCTGGTGTGCACAAAACAGCTTTATCACACAGATTAGCTTTGGGACTGGAAATGAAGCATGAAGGGATATGGGTGAGGCATGTGTAAGTTTCTGCTTTGTAATGGTTTAGATAGAAGCGTAGAAGCTTAAAGAGATAGTTTTACAAAATAAATCAACCACTAATGTAGTCGTGGTAAAGTAGTCAAGGCATGTTTGCGGTCTGAAGTTCTTCTTTAGCTTTGTACCGGAGCTTGAGGCTGATGTAGATAACAACTGATGGTTCCAGAAACCATAGTCTCTACTACTATTTCTAGCTATCTTGAAAGATAATATCTGCATAATAAAATGGTTAAGGTGTAAACAAAGTAATTAATAGTGTTTTTAAAACAAGCCACTCTAAAGAAACTAATAAGGTCAGAAATGCTTACAGTGGTGGTGATAAGACCCAGACATCAGAGGAGTTTAATGCCTCTAAAAAGGTCCCTCGGTCACAAAATTGTTCTATGAAATGATTACAAATAAGCTGTTTGACAACTGAAACATCGTTTTATTTTTTTTTAGATGCATCACTATTTCACCATTATCAACATTACATATTTAATCATTACATTCATTACAGTTCACTGGTCATTTTGTATGTAGTTGCCCTGTAGACATCATGACCCCTCATTCTTATCACCACCACTGAGTCAGTAAGTTTCTCTATAATGCACCATTTCATAACAAATCACTCTGAATGGCTTTGTTTAGATCTCAGTGATTGAATTATGCAGACATTTTGAAAAATCAGTGGATTTCCTCAATGAAGCTTGAATTTGGCTTTTGTCTCATTTTATAGATGCATGACATATAGTGACAGAAACCACATAAGCACATAAGTCTATCTGAGACTACAGTTTGAGACTCACCACAATTTTAAGCAAATCTGTGATGAATAACAGTAAAAACTACTCTGTCATCTGTGTTTTTGTTATAAGGAGTTTTATGTTATTCATAGGTATGAAGAGTATTTTTGACCACTATGCAAGGATTAACAGCCTTTTGTTTACCAGCTTTATCAATAACTAGAGACAAAGAAACACCTGTGATTATCTTTCCATACTCCATTATCTCTAAATGGAGGACAGAATGGATGAACAGTGTAAATGAAAAGCAGATAGCCATCTGGCCATTCTCAGTTCAACTGCTGACAGCCTTCACAGCCGTAAAACAGACGGCAGCATTGGTTTTGTTACAAAGACTCCAACATGGCTGTCTTTCCTGAGCCATTTTCTGGTCATTGCTTTGCCATAATAGCTCACTGATGAAGCCTGATAGACCCAAATCAGAGCTGTTCAGAAAGCTGGAATTCAGGTGACAGGAGAAGCATGGAGACTATTTACCCAAAGCCGGTTTCCATGGAGCTCAGGAAAGAGAGTGAGTGTTCAGGGATCGAGGGAATGATGAATGCTGCAGCTGAATGGGCTATGAATGGAGTCGGGAGAGTTCGGAGAATTGGAAGGTTCTATATGATCAAGCATGTTAAATAATCTTTGCACCATATTCCACAACCCTACCTCATGCTCAGAAATGAGTGCTATGTTGGTGCTGCACTGTCCTGTCTGTTTACTGTGTCTAATGTCTGTTTAATTTATTGTATTTATTGTATTGTTTCTAGTCTAATTCTTTTTGCACACTTACGTCTGCATGTTGCACTTTGTACTGTCTATTTTGTTTCACGTTGCACCATGTTGTTCCTTGGAGGAACGCAATTTCACTCCACTGCAAATGAGCCCTTTAACCAATTGCAATGTTTTTACTATGTGTTGAGAGCATTTCAATTAATCCAAAATAGTGTTTCTGTGAACGTTTTGATGACAACAATTAATGCAATCCAACAAAAGAAAATGACTTTGGTGAAAATAATGCGGGCTAATCTTCAACCATGACACATTCTTGGCACCTTTGTACTGACTCACAAATGTGTTTTTAATGTACTGCAAGATGCATCGTAATCGCAATATGGAGCTAATCTATGGGCCTAATCTAATTGCGATACTATTTATGTATATATTATCTAGTTCATTGTTCTTTATATCCAGTAATGTATGATCACATGATTCATATCAATTCATATTCAACCACTTATATGACTATTCAGCACTTATACCATTCATTTGGTTGGTAACCACAGTCTTGTCATTTTTAAGTGAAGTAAAAAGTGCATCATGATGTACTGGGCTGCTAAGTAAACAGTTTTTACTAGTACTTTTTTCCAACTCTCCCCTTACCTGAAGGGTTTGGGGGGCAGGATGGTGAACCTGGTCTTCTCCAACATTTTGCGGATCTTGTTGCGGCCGCCCGACACAGTATTGGCTTTCATTTTCTTGTGGCTCTTGCTATCAGAGGGGAACTCCAAATCTCCCGGCAGTTCAGCGATGGAGAAGCGGTTTCCCTTCTTCTCCTGGATTTTCGGGATGTGGAGGCCGCCGTTCTTTTTCTCATGCCTGATACGGCTCTGGAGCTCTTTGAAAACTGGAAAGGGAAACATCATTTATGATTACGTTCAGGGCCAGAGCAAAGTCTAAGCTGTTTGTAACCCTACAGTCATTTGTTTTTGTTTTTTTTTCCCCCCAATGAAAAGCACAGATTTCTATATAAGCTCCTCGTTGATGCTTGCAAATCATAACTTGATCGTAACTTGTTGGACTTATGTGAAGAACTGACAATATATCTACTAATATTACTAATGTCAAATGTAGACTGAAGCGAAACGCCTACAATAGATATTGTGCATCACATTGCATCAAGGTATTGGGATTAAAGGGATATATGGCAGTTTTCCAAGAGGGGAATTTCGTTTTTCTTTTTTGGTCGACAGGAGGATGGCATCACCTTGTTTATATTGCAGGGTTTCATAAGTAGATAAAAGTAGACTCAATTTCACCTGTGTTCCTGAAAACTTCATGGCATAACAAACATACTGATGCTAAAGTTATTCCCACACTACCATACAACAATGATCATCTATTCTTCCTACAACATATATTCAAACTTACTCTTGCAGACTTAGACTAACGTTTCTATAGATTTATCTGAACATACCGAAGATGTTGGTCTTTACAGTGAGTGAGAGGTGGGTGTTGTTCTTCAGAATGTCCATGGCTTTGGTGTATGAGATGTTCTCAAAGTTCTGACCATTGATCTCCATGATCTGAGAAAGAAACACACAGACTTACAGCCAAGATTTCAGAGAGAAACAGTCTAAAATAAACAGACAATACAAATAAGGACACCCACTCCAGTCTGCACTACAAATGATCACTGCAATATTTTTCCCCTACAGCTACGTCTTACTTGTTCCAAATTAGTCAGCCAGTGAAAGATTACGTAAGAGTTACTGGCCGTGTTACCTGGTCTCCACGCTTCAAGCCGGCCTCTGCAGCTTTGCTACCCTGCTCTACAGTTTCAACGAAAATGCCGAAGCCTCTCTCGCTGCCGCCCTGCAGGCTGAAATGGAGCGGCGACTCTCTGGAGGGCTTTTGTAGGGTGACCTGCCGCCACTTTGCTTTAGCGGCGCAGGCAATGTTCAGCAACCGCAAATGGCCCTTCATTTTCTAAGAAAGGAAAGAGCAGTCAGTGTGACCATGTGGGAATGTTTGGATTCTGTTGTCTTTGACCAAACAGATATGTATGTCATAAGATGTTAACATGTGTCTTCATTATAGAATGAAATGCAGAAATAAATATATGAAGAATACTGTACAACATTCAAATAATACACATATCATAAAATAATGTTAAGAAATATGAAAAAAGAAGAAGATTATTAGAACAATAGAACATCTAAAATCTATTTGAACAATATTCAAAATTACAATGAAAACTTCTACAGACGTTTCTACAGGAACTCAACACATCTGGTCCTAAACAGGTTAGCTAGATTAGCTATAAGGTATAAGTATACTGACATGTACAGGTTCTTTCTGAATAACTTTCTGTTGAGATCAACAATGCACCAGTTAGTTTACAATTAATGTGAATTTTACCGTTTCATCCAGCAATCTCTCGAAGTCCTCTAGGAACTGTGTCATAGAAGGATTTCCTTCAAAATCATTAAAATGATTGTTCACCCATAACAACACTATTCGTGTAACCTGCAGAAAGAGACAAAATTTTAATATCAGGATGATAGTTCAAAATCTGTCCAAAACCAGTGATTTATTTCATTTTGAGGGAAGTTAAACATGTAGTCGTACGCAAAATGACAACCCAAATGACATGTTGTGTTGAAAAAACAAAACAAAATCTACAATGTGCTGGCGGCACGGTGGCACAGTGGGTAGCGCCCACAGTCCAAAAACATGCAGTCAGGCTGATTGGACATGCTGAATTGCCCCTAGGTGTGTGTGTGTGACTGTGTATGTTTGTCTGTCTGCCCTGCGATGGACTGGCGACCTGTCCAGGGTGTGTCCTGCCTTCCGTCCAATGACAGCTGGGATAGGCTCCAGCACCTCACCGCGACCCAGAAGGATAAGCGGTTTAGATGATGTATGTATGTAAAATGTGCTACAACTTTTATAAACTTTTTTTCCACAATTTGTGCACTGAAATGTGCAGAAGTGTGTTCTCTGTAGAGGATGTGTTCAACAAAAAATCCTCAATCAACAAAACATGTCATTTGACCAGAGGCACCTTAACTTTTGCATATGACTATGTTGTGCAATGCAGAATGATTGCTTCAAAAAGAACCTCTACTATATGACGGCTCTATATTAAGTTTTGTGAGTCTCAGTAGTAACATGACAACATAATACACGTTTAACCAATTCAATAAAAAAAACTTTTAAATGTGAAATTATGCACATTGTTTTTAATTTACAGCTACTTTTCACAGTCTCTTTCACACACACACGCACCGTATCTCTGAGGCTGTCCATATTAAACCATTCCAGTAGCTTCTTTCCTACTTCCATGGGACTGGAGAGGAAAGTGCGGTAGGTAAGAAGAAAGTCTTCAATGTAGGTTGGGTCCACCACGGAAGGCTCCTCCACTAGGTGCATGATCAACCTCTCTGGAGTGCCCTGAATCATACCAAACCAAACAACGTCTTTTTTAGATGAAACATTTATACTGTGTTTAAAATATGTTTTCAGAATATGTGACATCATAAAAGATTAGTCTGCATTGTTTTGATCAAAATAATTTTACTTTTAGTGCTTTATATTTACTTTTGGTGCTTTAGTGAATAGACACCATTGATTTATCAACACTTTAACTAAAATTTTGCAGACTATACTGTATCATATAACATTAGTTATGAAATATCTACATTTTGGAAGAAGGACAGCGCCTGAAACTCCTCAAAGTTTTCGCACCCCATAACCACACCACCTCCTCCCTGTTCCTCATTCCAACCTCTTTTCATCCAAAAATAGAGGCCTGGCCTTCTAGCTTAAAGCATAAGCTGTCCAGAACTCCCCCTCAAATTCTCAGAGTTTTCTCCCCTCCTACAGCCATACAGTCAATTCCCACACTACTACAATATGTTGGAGCCGTGGTTTGGACTCTCAAATAAACGACAAATTGTGTAGACGTAGAATGTTTTATTTATTACAAAATGAAATAATAGGCAGGACTATGCTACACGACTAACTTCACTGACTAGGCATTCCAACTCTGGCTTTTGTTTGCATTATGCACCACTGATGCAAGCAAAAGGATGTAAACAAAGGTCTCATAGTGTGGTAAAAAGAAAGTATAGTTTGGTCTTACTACAGCTGAGGCTTATCACTGTGAGCAAGAAGTGAAAAATTACTTGCATTGTGATCGAAATAACAAAGAAAGACAGCATGCTAACACAGAACCAGAGGGGAATTTCAGTCCTCACAAAACTGAGAAGTTCATAGAGGGGAAAAAGATACATGTGGTTTCATTACTACTGTTAAGCCTTATAGGGCTCACTGTTTCTGCAAATGCCACATAATGTTACACTGAGGTCATTCTATTATTTTCATACAAAAGTGAGAAGTCTACTCATTTCTTATTATTTTTGTAATGTTTACATTATGCAAATAGTGCTGTATTTCTGTGCAGACAACAGAAACCAAACAACCTTTGCTCCAGCATAACCTTTAAAGCAATGTACACATTTTATTCATTCACATACACAAGTACAAAAGCTACTTTGACAGCAACTCCAACAAGACAACAGAGAAAAAGTGTGACATTCTGATGCAACTTCTGTTTTTCTGTGTAAAAGAAATGGTCACATCGTACATGAACTCCACTGAAACTAGAGGATCAGAAACTAATGCAGGTGCTTCAAACATGGAACAGCTACACAAAGGACCACAGGTAAAAAGCAGAAAACCCATAAACACAGCACAGTCTGCGAACACAATGCCAAGCACCTTTTGACTCAAAGCAAAGACAACTTTGCTATAGTTGCTAAGAGGATATCTGAATATCTGATAAAGCTGATAGAAGTAATGGCTGTTGGAGAAGACAAACTAAGATCTGAGGTTGAACAGTATAGATAAAGGTGGGCTCACTTTTTGGCTAGCAACATGTCACTGTTGTGTTTTTTTAGTTATGTATTATAACTCCCTATTAAAGATTTTAAGGTGTTTATCACCAAATTTGAAGGTCATAAACTAATTTTAAACCATTCATAAATTCTTCATGAGGGTAGTTTTGTTGTAAAGTGGCACCGTTTTTAACAAATATGTTACTTAAAGCTCAATTAGCCAGGATAAGTCTGGTGTCTGAAGGATAACATAGCTAACAATTGATGGAAGAAAGGTAAACAATAAATGTATGGTCAAAAACAGAAGTAGCAGTCATCTTAAAGCCTGATATTTTCTATACCTTTGTCCATTTTTATACATAACAGTATGTCATAAATTATGAGTCTATTTGTGGCAAATAATGATTTAGGCATGCAGTCTGCATGATGCTATTTATTGAGGCATATAGTTGTATGCAAAGGTTTGGGTCAAATGACATTTGTTGTTTTTCTTTTCTTTCAGGGAACATAAGCAAATATGGCATTTTTCTGCTAATGTTTAGTGTACAACTTTTTATTTGCTGAGTTTAGACAAATAAGAAAAAAAGAAAATATATTAAACATAAAATGTGCCATAACTTCTGCACAGCACACATATCATGTTTAATTTTTTCTCAACATATTAAATTCAGCTAATAAACAGTAATTAGGCATTAAAAAGTGCAGAAGTGTGTTCTCTCTAGTGGATGTGGAAACTTGTTTTCACTTAGAAAATCAACAAAACATGTCATTTGACCAAGTTTTTGCCTGTGTCTGTAAACTTCCATTATTTGGTAGCTACATTAGCCTTGAAGCTACAGTATAGAAGCAATAAATTGCATTGCATTTTATGAAACACAATGGCCTTACCTTGATGACAATGTGGCCCTTGCGGGTGCCGCTGCGGTCCAGTTCACGGTGTTCCTTCACCATGACGATCTCACCCTCCTCCTCCACCTTGTGTGTGTTCTTCTCCACATGGTTAAGGATGCGCCAGTAGTCCTCTTGGGCGATGCAAACGAACTGGTCCACAACAACATGAGGCAGGCGGGTGAACTTATAGTAGAGCAGAACATTGCTCTGCACCACACACGGACACTCAAACAGCAGCACAGTGGAGTCATGGTGACACAGCATCGAGAGGCTTCGTGCAGAGCTCCAGCTTTGCTGGCCTAACTAAGACTGAGGCTGATAATGCAATTTGGGCCAGGAGGATGTTGTTAGAGGAAGTGAAGGGTTGCGATACAGAATCTGAGGGGTCACAGAAGCCAAGTGACTTCTTTAAAACTTCAGTGTCTGCTGCTGACTTCCTTATGGCCAAATTAGGGGACACTGATATTTTCATTTCTGATTTTAACCACTGAGGATGTTGCTTTACGTTAGATTATGATTCCTTAGTAGATGACTTGATGCATCATGAGATTTCTAACTTCACTACAATTCAGTTAGATTTAATTTGATATTATTTTAAGTAAATATATATGTTTAAACTATAAGACTACGGGGCAGATTTACTAAAAGAGGCACTAATTACTGATGCAATGCAAATTACCAACCGACCGTCTATCAACACTGCCCTGGTGTGACCATTTTAATGGCTTATCTACTAAGAATGTCCATGCAAATTAACACAAGCACAACTTAGTAATTAAAAGATGATCCAGGCAATATAAATCCCCATGGAATTTTTTCCTGCTTTTACAGGAAACAAAAACAAAAACATCTGGTTCAAATTGTAACTCTTTAGGTCAAAATTATGACTTATTTTTTTGAGATGTTGACTTAGTAAGTCAAAATAATGACTGGTTATTAATTGCCAACAAAATAAGCAATTATTTGACAAAAAAATAGAGGTGAACAATCGGAAAGATCAGCAATCGGACAATTTGCTGTTTTTATTCTGGCTGATCTGCTGTTCTGGTGTTGCTATTTTATGATGTAAATAACGTGAGTCACGTAAGTGCACTCACACTGTATTTGAATGTTATTGCTACAACTGTTCCATAATGCTGAAGCATAAATATACATAACTCATTGTTCTAAATAGCCAATCAACTCATTTTCAATGTAGCGCTTTATTTGATTCATGTTATTTAAACAGGCAACTGATTTAAAATTGAAAAAGAGCAAATAATGTTGTTTATATTGAGACTCTGGCTAGTAAAAATTGTGCTGGAAATGTGCTGTAAATATGTTGGAAATGTTCTAGGGTGATTCATGTATTCATTTACCCCATGTCACGTGAGCTAAGGATTAAAAAAAGGTTTAAAAAAAAAAACATCCATCAGCCAATCTGGCGGGACAGAAATACAATTTTGTTTCTGCCAATTGCTGAGTTTAACGTATTGGAAAAACATTAAATCTAAAATGTTCTGTAAGATTTGCACAAGCCACATTTTATGTTGTATTTCTTTACCCCAATATGTTAAAATGCAGTAAAAGTAGTGGATGGGTACTTATTGTCACTTAGAAAATCAACAAAACATGTCATTTGACAAAGAGTGCCCAACTGTACACGGGTACTCAGGTATTTGCCAGTAATCTTCCAGCATTTTGCCCTTTTAGAGGACAACTAAAAATGCCTATGCAATGAGCCAAAGTTCAAAAGAGCAGTGATTATAGGTGCTAAAGGGCCACAGCCTATTTACTAAATCACGGCATCACATTTTTAACATTAAAATGTTGGTAAATCTGCCCCTAATAACCTGTATACACCTTGCATTAACATGCATTTCATGTCTGGATTGTTTATGGATAAACTTTGTCCGACACTAAAACGCATCCCCAGTATGAACAGATAAGATTCGATTTTACTTTTTCTGTGTAAAAAGCAAATCAACACATACATAGTTTCCATTTTACTTTAATAATACATCTGCCATCAACTATTACTTTGCTGATTTTTCTCAGTAAGTGAGTAAGTGCTAATGAAATGAGAGCCTTACCTGGCAGTCATCCATTTTGGTGCGCACCTCGCCATTCATGTACTGCTTGTCCAAGGAGGCAGAAATGCCAAAACTGTTCCCCATGCAGAGAATCTCAGTCCGACCGTCTTCGTGACTTATCTCGACGGCACCATTCAAAATCACGTACCACTGGTCCAACTAGAAAATACAATACAACTCTCACTGCTGCTGATAAAACTTCAGTCTGACTGATTGCAGACAATGTTTGTTTGGATTTAAACCTCACAGCTGATGACGTCCTAATGGCTGTTGTTGCACTAAATTGTACTGCACAGTTTAGAATGAACAACAACGAGAACAGCAATAATCACCTCAAATATCTGGAGCACTGCAACATATCCTGAATGCCTTAACATCTGGTTATTATTATTATTATTATTATTACCTATATTACTTTCTGTCGTCTTTGTCGATTTATTTATTTTGCTGCTGTTTTTAATTAATTTGCCCAATAACTTTTTGTAGTGACGTGTGTTGTAATTGTTATGAATAATGAATAAAAACATAATTTAAAAAAGTTTTTAAAAGTGACTGAAGGAATGAAGCAGTCAATCAATAGCAAAATGGTTTACCTTTAAGGCTTTTTAAGGTTTTTCGACTTTCTCATTTCTTTTTCATACTTCAGCACTCCTTTATTTCTTCTTGCTTTCCTCCTCACTTCTCTATCATCATCTTGATTTTAATATCGCTTTAGTACTTAATAAAATGTAACTAAAGCTTTCTATGTTAATTCCTTTTCTTCCTTCTTTTACTTTTTTTCTTCCTTCCTTTCTTTTTCCTTTTGCTTCTGTCCTTGTATTTTTTCTTTCCTTTCTTTCTTCTATACTCCATATTCCTTCCTTCCTTCATCTTTCCTTTCTTTGTTTTTCTTATTCTTTCACTGCAACTGTGTAATATTTATTTATTTACTTATTTATTCATTTATTTAGAATAATACAAAAGCTCACAAATTTTATTATAACTTCTTTCTCATTTACTACAATGCTGGCTGCTGATTGAGACTTTTCGTCTTCACGAGCTGTCAACATGTTATTTATCAGAGAAATATATTTTCACTGTTTCTGGATCTAGCAAACATCAGTAGTAGTCAGCCTAGCTAGCGTGTTCTCAGCCACGTCCTTAACAATGCGTTTTTGACGACGCGCTAATGTTCAGTAACTCATGTTTTGTACTAGTAAAGTCTAATAATTTCCCTGAATTGTTAGCCTGTTTATTTCGGTTTTCCTGTGAAAGAATGTAACAAACACTAATAGTGTTTTCAGTACTCGAATACTGACCCCTTAAGGTAGTTAACTTCAAGAGTCTTCAAGTATTCCTGCACATTTCTAGATTACAGCAGGCTAGTGCATTTGGCCACTGTGTATATGTAATTGTTAAAAACATCTTAACCTCTCCTGCAACTCTGCCTCACACTTTCTTTACAGTCTCTTAGCAGTGAAGATCCTGGACTTGCTCTACTGACCTTCACACACATATACACACAATATGCAAGGCATGCTAATGTGTCCATCAAATGTCTGGAGTGATGGACCCAACCCTGTAACTGTCCATCAAACAGCAGGCAGGCCTGCACCTCAGTGCTCTCTGTTTGATAGAAATCCTATCGCTGTGTGTTAAGATATTGGTGTGGCAGACTCGGGCTCATCTATTACGTCGTGGGACGCAGGCTTGACTGGGCAACCTCTGACGGTTTTCCTTTTGCTCAGGCATGTAACTTAATTAATTAGCCTCCTTCAGGATTGACTGCACAGCGCTACTGCTCTGAGAGGCTTGGCTGAGCATGACAAAGCTAGACGGCTTTATTTACGAACAACAGCGGACACAGCCACCGTGCTTCAGATCACACTAAAAAAAAAAAGACAACAGTAACTAAACTGTGGCCCTGACCTGCTTGGTGGCACTAAGTCATGTGTAACATGTGCCACAGTTTCGTAAACAGCGGTATTTACGGTATATCTGTAATTCTGTTAACTGACACTAGAGGGACATGGCAGGTGGATTTGTAAAGTCAGATTAGTTAACCAAACCACAAGTGTACACTCAAAATCCAAGTAAACAGACAATATGACATATCAACAAATTATTACAGTGCAGCAGCCATGTTAGGAAATACATGAAATACATTTTTACACTGCTGATTTTTTATTTATTTATTCCTGTTTATTTTAATTGAATTCAGTTTTTACTTTTGTACTGTGTTACTGTTGTAGTTTTGTCTCGTCTTGTCTCTGATTCTCGGAATAATGGAACTTCTACAGATGTAAATAAATGCACACAAAGATAAACGAAGTCATTCAAAGTGTTCTGATGTGAAATGTTCCATTTCAGAGAAACCTGCCAAGTCAGAATGGTTACAGTGGTGATGATGGGACCCAGACATCCGAGGCATTCAATGCCTCTAAAAGCTACCTCATAGAACATTATTACATTAAGTGGTTACAAATATGCCGCCTGATGCCTGAGACATTTTTTTTAATTTGCATTGTAGTCATTGCAACCCCTCCTGTCTATCACCACCACTGTAAAGAAATACAATCTCTATTCTCTATAATGAACCATCAGAACAATTAAATCATAAGAAATGTTATTTTTCTCTCTCTCTCTCTCTCTCTCTCCCTCTCTATTCTATTCTATTGTATCTATCTACTGCAATATGTTTGAATGCTCTACAGTTTGGTGGAGTTTAAAGCTACCACACATTAAAGCTGAGCAACTGAGGTGGACAGTTTTTTTTTGGCAAAAGTGGAGCAAGAGTCAGAGAGAAATGATTGTGATGTGCATTTCTATGCCTTTACCTCCTGCTTGTCCTGCAAGATGACTGTAGCAGCCTGCTCCACTACCTCAAACACCATAACTGTACACAGCTCTCTCCTCACCAACATGGTCATGTTGGCAAAGGCAGGCAGCTGATGCATGAACTCCAGGAGCTGCTCTGTAACAGAAATGAACAGTAAGAGAAAGAAAGAGGGAGAGAAAAACAGGAGAATAGCAGAGGCAATGTTATTCTCATGCACTCAACATCTGCAACCACAACACCAGGCACAAGTTTAGACACAACTACTCACTGAAGGCTTCAGATCCTTCAAAGTGAGCCTTTTTGCCATAATACTGTTGATGTTCATTGGTACATCACTATTTGCATACTGAGGCTAAAACCCTTCTGCATGTTTTCAAACTAGAGAACTAGAGTTTGACGCTCAATCAATAAACGGAAGGAGAAAGGCTGACCGATGTCATCATCATTGCGATCCGCTGGCTCCTTCTCCAGGCACTCCCGCACCAAGTCCCTGCCTAGCAAAGGGTCTGAGGCACGCTCAATGTCCTCATCCTCCTCTTCCTCGTCCTCTGAGTCCACAGGGGCCTCGGGGAGGCCAGACAGGTCCACATCACCCATTTCACTTTCTGTGGCCTGTAAAGGTGCAGAAAAAAAGAAAAAGCATGCTCACAATTCACACATCTGGTTTCATTCACACTTTTGTCACTTTGATGTGTTCTGAGGTGAGATTACACAATTTTTTTATTACCCCAGACGACCAGACAACCCCCAGCTGATTAGAGAAGACAGGTTTGCTGTCCAAATTTTGCTTCTTTAGCACTGGAGCAGCAAGGCTAATGCTGCTAACAAACACTTGAAGTTATCATCCAGATCTTTTCTGTAAGTACATCCCCAAAACTTCTCTCGACCCGCCTCCAGGTCTTCATTAACGTCATGCAGACGTGTTGATGTGGTTTGATGAGGGCACAGTATGACTGTGAACTATAAACATAAAAAAAACTTCGCAGTGTAGCTGAATGCAGCAGTCAGACATTTTTGATTACAGGTGTTATGCCTCCCCTTCATAGTAATCATGCTGTGTCCTAAACCATATTAACAAGTCTACGTGACCTTAACGAAGACCTGGATGCAGTTTGAGCAGGTTGACAGATATTATGGGGATGTATGTACATTTATTGACTTCTAGTGTTTGTTAGCAATGTAAAGCTCATAGCTTCAGCGCTGAACTACAGGAGAAAAATTACTCAACTACTTCTGGGCTAACTGAAAAATTGTGTAAATTAGATTTAAAACGTAATATATTTGTGAATGATACAGACTAGGGATGTGCACTGATACCTAAGTACTCTGTTAACTGTTGCAGGTACCACTATTTGAAAAGTGAAATCACTATTTGGGTATTTGTTATGTTATAAGCCTAAGAGAAAATACTTAGGCTACAGTTGAGTGAATCATCATTCACTTTTGCCAGTATTTAAGATAAGCAGTTATATTTTGCTATCATGAAGGCAGAGTGCCTTAAAGTGACTATGTTGTCAAGGACGAGAGCGATAAGGCAGAGGTAGTGCAGCTGTAACTAGGCTAAATACTCAAAGTCTTGTTAGCTAGATTTAAAAACAACAAAAAGATATTTCTTTGTTCTATCATCCACTGATGAGAAAAAACTTAGTAGTAGTCGTCCTCACCATCTACCACTGCACCTGTTAGCTAGTGTTAGCATTAGCTTATTAATTCATTCAAGGTAGCCTCCATTACTCAAGTGCAGTAACGAAAAGATTTCCAAATGTACTTCTGAGATGCTCGATTTCAGTTCATGATTCTTCAACCATACAACTGCTCCATGTACGCTCCTTGTGCATATAATTATTATGATTATCATCATTATTACTACTGAACGTTTCAGTCTGCTAGTGCACCAGATTACCATGTTTGTGTATTATTATACTTTAATGTAACGTAAAGCCTATTTTTCCCTTCTCTGCTAATGCCATAACTTTTGCACAGACCCCTTTTTTTCCCCAAAATGTTAAATTCTGTAAATAAACTGAAACTTCTGTACATTGCACAAACACAAGAGGTTCAGACTTTTAATGTTCATAATGTTCGACATATTTTACATTCAAGTGCAACACTGGTCACATCGTATGCATTAAGAACCAGTGTTGTTCTCTTGCTCAGCAGAACAACAACTATCAAGTATGCAACTCATTATGCTGAGACATCAAATAAGGTGGGGTGGTTCTATGAAATAATGATGAATGACTATGTGCACTTTTAAATGAACTATGAATGGACATCACTTTTACACTACTAGGCTTATGTCCAGAAGGAAATTGTGTTGCTCCCCAAGACGAGATGTAGATGTGGAACAGCAGATGTCACCAAGACCAAGCAAACTGGACATTTTAAATGGGTGCCTTGTAACAGGACCACAGGAACAGACCTTTAGTTCAAAAGGTGAATGTGTATGAGTCAGAGAGAGAGAAATAGAGAGAGTGCAAAATGAATGAATGAAAGACACAATCAAGCTGCTGAATGAAGTGCTGAAAACTCTTGCCAAAGACACTACAATTAGCAGGTCTGTATCTAGACTGAGCCAAGAGAACCTCATTTGCTCATCTACCATCAATCAGAAACTTGACGCCTCCCTTTCTTTGAGCAGGAAATATATTAAGAAACACTAAGAAAAAGATGCTTTACCTGCCATTTATGAACAAACACATCGGCATGCATTGGCTTCCAGCCTATAAGATCCTCCAGTGCATACCTTCAGTGTTTAGGACCTACACCAAAGACCTCAGAAAAAATCTGGCGCCGGACCACGAGAAACGCAGCACTAGGTTCAGGTCTAGAGAGACATCTAAAAAGTCAGTACCTGGTAGATGTCGGACAGGCTGCTACTTCCTGAATCGCTGGCGATGCTGCATCCCGATTGGCTGGGCGGCATGTGCATCACCTGCTGATGGGGGTGGTCCGTCAAGTGCATCTTGCTGAGGTCTCCAGGAAGCTGTTAAGACAAGACAGGAAATGATAGGGTTTTATTACCAAACGATATTTACTGCTATAGCGATATCAGTATTAACACTGGATATAAGTATCAGTATAAAGGCTACAGATCTTGAGCTCTTTATTAAGTTATTTATTGAGTCGGTGCAACAGTTTATGTTCATTATTGACAGAAGAGGACAGACCATGAAAGGGAAAGAGAAATCCAAGAACCTCAAAGGAAGCTATGAACATGTAAGAATGATCCAGGTCCAAACATCCATATTTCTTGCTAGGTTGGAAAAGAAAGAGCATTTTACGCTTGACGAGTGACCTCCAAGGGCTGTGCAACTCCCTTTAGGAGCCATGACAGTAAATCTGAGAAGCTGCGAGCCCTCGCTGCTCGATCTTTATTACCCTAAATGCTCCTCTGTCTGTCATATCTCAAGGAGCGCTGATGCACAGCTATGATACCGGCCCCATCAAAATGACAGCGGGGGGAGTCTGTCAGAAGAGTTAGTGTGGCCTCTTCTCTAAGCATGAAAACAGGGAGTGGTGTGCTAGTTTCTCAGAAGAGACGTGTGCTTGAGGTGCTGGGGTGGTACAAACCAGGCACAGCTGATGTACAGTACAGAATCAGAGATGGCACTGATCCAATCCAGTCGATTTTGATGGGAGTCAATCCAGGCATTTAACGGATCTAATATTGGCTATTTTAAACCTGATGATCCACTTCCATCCTTTGATTCTTTTTATGCTACTGTTGTAGAGGCACCATAAACTGACATTACTTGCTTATATATGCAACCAGAAACAATCAGTTTTTTACTCGCAAATCTGAACAGGGGTTTAAATGAAAGAAAATTTCAGAAATGTTCTGCTTCAGCAACCACACTCTCAGTAACAGCTCGTTCAAAACCAAAAGAAAAGTAGTAAGTAGTAACTAGTAATGCTATACAAAAAAGTAGTAAATAAAACATACCAGTAGAGAGTGTCACTTGCACATTATAACAATGAAGGGATTACACTGTAGCATTAATATACATATCTGACCTAAAGTGGGTGGTTGTTTTATCTATGAAAATACAAATAATAAATCAAATCGGTACTGCCCAATACTCAGAATTAATTTATCGGATCGGATTGGAGGGCACACAGACATAATCAGGACATCCCAAATGAAAATACTTCCATACAACAAACAGAGAAACAGTTTATGATTTTTAATCAGCATTATTATGAAGGAATTATCAGTAAAATTATGTTCAAAATGTTTAGTTTCAGCATTAGTATAACACTCTCTGATAGTGGCATTACCACTAGAACCAGAAAATTAACAGGTAAAGGTAAAATCTGTGAATACACAGATGAAAAGCCCATTTATGGTACAGAATAACAGAACCAGACAATCAAGAGACAATGGTCTAGACTATATAGAAGCCACATCAGCTGCAAAACAAACATCACTAAGGGACCACAAAGAGTACTGTGTTCTAAGCCAAAAAGTCAAACGGTGAAGGATGGGGCCAAAGTTCTTACCAGTCCACACTGTCCAAGAGAGGCTCTCCTTCGACGTGGCACCCTAAAGCAGACCACCTCCATCGCCAACATCGGCCAGGCTGGCGGACAGACAAGCCAACACAACTGGAACCCTCGGGTGCCCATGCAATATTAAACGAGTTCAGTCTATGGGCTTTTCTACCAAAGCCTGCCCCCTCCACCGTGACGCCATGTGATGAAGTTGAAGGACAGGCAACCCCCTTCTACACCTTCACCTTTTATCCTATGCTTAAACCAAAGCCACTTCCACTAAGCTCACCTACGCCCACTTCATTCTCAACCAGGGGAATTTACCAGTAAAGGACAGCCAAATAGTCTCTGTAGGCTTATATGCCTGCCAATCTGCCTCGAACAACTTAGCTTATTTTAGCTGTAGCTTAAACAGACTGTAACATATGCATGAACATTCTTTTTTTGACAAGACAAAATCAAAAACGCCCTGCCAGTAAGATACAGCCATTATAGATTGGTATGACGATACATTTTCACCACTGTGATGAATTTGTCAATTACACATTTTTCTTTGTTTACTGTGGGTATCATCAGTACTTCTAGCATGTTGAACAACTGCATGCATTACGAAAAAAGGAGAGAGCCTGTTAACAAAACAACAGCTAGTGGAAAGTAACTGCATAGTAACAAATAGCAAAATAGCTGCTCTTCCTTCATTAATGAGCAGTTTATTTTTGCAAGCATGTCTGTTTGCTGGTGCATTTTGTAAATCTCAAAAAACTAAATAACTTGATACACATGATGCCATTTTTTCAAGTAGGGTCAACACTGCTTATCCCCTGGTGGCCCTGGCCACAACATTTCACATTTTCGCCATTAAAATTAGGAAACTGTTTTTTTTTTAACTGATCAAACAAATCATATTCGTCTCAATTTGATAACTGTAACCACTGCTTATGCAATGGTGTGGTGACTGCGGTGGTCCTCACTGCTGAGCTGGTCCACCTGGCATCATAGATGTGGTTCCATTGGCTAAAGTTTGCTAGTATCACTCTACGAAAAAGGGTGCTAAATGAGTTGGCATTACACTGAGAGGCTATCACCACAGCAGCTAAACAGTATCTAATGCCATAACCTATATCCGATGAAGTCAGGGTGGACCAGCTTAGCAGAGGGCACCGCCACAGTCACCACAACACTAATGTTCTTATTAATGTAAAGATTTAGTAAATATTTATGCTTTCAAACCAACATCTGACCACTTTTTGGTAGTGAAGCATGCATAGTAATTGTAAACATAATGTATATATGATAAACATGTTTCTATAATTCTTAATTCTGGCACAAGATAAAATGGCTCGGTGGCCCAAGTGGCCAGTGCAAATTTTCGAGTATTTTGATCCCTTTACTGTATCGCTCAGAATCAACAACCGCTATAGATTATTACAACTACAACACTATGGCAAAACTTAGGATGTCAGCTGTCTGACTCTGACATCCAGATGCATATGTGAGTATATTAGCCTTAGTGGTAATAATTTCCACTAGCTAATATTAACTGTCGCACAGTGGTTGCACAGCTGTGCCTAATGAGGCCAACGCTGTGCTACTAGAAAGCAGAAGCCCAGAAATGAATTCTAAATATACCCTTTATGACAGATTCTTTCCCTTTTTGCAGACAAGGAACAACACTACAACTTTTTGATAACCGCACTGGATCCACCACTTAAAACTGCATCTCCCATCATAGCCAAAAATGGCGGATATGAAAAATGGGTTCCGCAGAGTAGCTTTGTTAACCCGAGGCTAGTGACATGCTACCGCAGTTGATGCCATCCTTTCATCCAGTGAATGAACTCCTGGTGTCACAGACACTCATATGGTTCTTAATGAAGGCATCAGAGTGAAGAGTGGTAAAAGGGAAGGCCCTACTAATTGCTGCGGTCTCGCTGTGCTAATTCGCGCTGCCGACTTAATTGCCGTCGACTCTGCTCTCCCCCTCTGGCAGTGGGGCTCTCCCCCTCATGGCATGAATTAATGATTATGGCAAACGATTAAATATGAATGCGCGCTCCCTTCTGCCGTATGAATCTATCACGTCAACAAGCCCCGCATGGGCCTGCAACTTGGGTCTCATCCTAGTAAATGGGGTCTGTGTGCACAAACAGCAGCATGTGGCCTGTAAAGGGCTAGCTTAGCCAATTACTTAGCTCTCAGCTGTTACTCACAAGCTCTTACACCAAACTAGTTTACTAATCGGTTGCTCTCAATTCACAGTGGAGGTGGGAAGCAAGCGCCGACTCGGCTGCTCTCCCTTGGAAGCAGCATGTACGGTACTGAGCCACTACTAAAAAGCAAGCTCTTTGGTGAGTCTTAATGGCCCAGAACAGACCGTTTCGACCAGTTGCTCAACAGCACAGCAGGGCCTCCATCATTAAATCATGCCAAGTCTTCCCAATTATGAGCCAACTTGGAAATAGCCTCAGTGAGGGGCCACGGCACAGGAAGAGCTAGAGGCAGTGCTCCGGTGGGCTATATGCTGTAAAACGTTGAACCTGGCACTGTGTGATCCTGTATGGACTCCTAAGCAGCTTTTACTGCTCTGTGTTCACGAGTAAAAATTGGCGCATAAAGATTATGCCAACCAGTGGGGAGAAGAGATGGCATGATCTCCCTTGTTTTTTTGTCATTACCGACAGAGTATTAGCCAATATGTATACAGATCAGAGATTTAATTCTTTAAAACTACTGAGCTATAAAATGGGCTATTTTCAATTGAAGCACTTAAGATAAGCATCTAAAAGTAGGCTACCAAACTCAAAATACTCCATCGCACTACTACTCCAAAGGACAAAATACACAGCTAACATCACATCACACTATGTGAGTGTGAGGTATTTCAGGCCGGATTTTTCATAGGGATTGGATCGCATTCTTTTTTCCGATGTAGCATTTTCTGATGATATGATGATATGATATCCAAGTTGAAGTTTCCAAATCCATTCATACTCATCCTCATAATTAACCTTAAAAACAATAATATTTGAAGCATTTTTTGTCATCGGATGCGCAAGGCAAGCGCGTTACATCCATCAAATCATGTGCCTGTTTTTATGTTCTTTTTTTCTTACTGTGCATGAGTGAAGCTAAACTTTACAGAGATCCATTCTATTCCCTTCTAAATTATAATTAAAATAACTTACTAAAATGTTGTTGGTGTGGTTGTTTTAGGGCAGCCCCTGCAGTGTACTAACAGTGTTCTCTGATACAGCAGTAAAAACTTGTGGTTTGTTAAAACTGGATCTGCTGTTCTGAAAACTGCGGTAAAACTGTTTATTCAGAACAGAAAAGGTGAAAATAACAGCTAATATTCCCACCTGAAGCAGTTACGTGACTGAGCCGGAGGCAGTGTACACTGGATGCACGGCAGTACTCAGATAAATAGGTACTATATTTACTTTATTTAAGATAATTTGTCAAATTCTTGTGCCCATATATACCAATCTTTTA